TTTAAAAATAATATCAGTATACGTATCAGTCTAGATGTAGAGTCTGCTTTGAACGTAACAGTATAATACCTATTATCGCTCTTTACGTAACGCATTATATTTCGTGGTCCGATTGACCAAATAACTGCTTTCAATTAATTAATCTTTATGAAAGGTGTTGGTTGAAATGAAAAAGTTAATGTCACAAGCGGGATTCGAACCCACGACGCTAAATATGCCACTGCTCTACCTCTTGAGCTGTCGTGACTTATATCCACTCGGACACCAACTTCCCACTTCAACTCACCTATCGAATTTTCCCTCCTTTTTACACTAACTATTTTATTTCAACCAATAACTTACATAAAGATTAATTAATTGAAAATCTTGATGGATTTTTGACTTGGAAACATTGGACCACATTTCAATATCCCGCTTTTATTATATTAAAAAAATGAAAAAATTAGAATAAGAGGTATTACTCTTGGCTGGTTTCGGTCATTCGTTACCTCAAGAAAACAATTGGTGCAAATTAGTGATACATGCGGTCAAATAGAAGAAATAGAACTTTGGAATTAGTCGAGGAACAGCGCTGGGTCCAATTTTATTCCTACTTTACATCAACGATTTTGCTTATCTATCGCTAACCATATAAATATATTTATTTATCGATGTAGTGGCCTTGCCTATAACTTAAGTCAGTTTTTAATTAACTGCCCTGTCTCGATTTCTTTTAGATCAAAATATTTATCAAGATATTTCTTCATTCAGAAAACGTAATATTATCACTAGACTTAAATTCTGCTGACTTGAAAAACAAGTAAATGTCATCTGTTCTGTATGGAAAGTTTCAAATTAAAGAGTCTCCTCACAAGTTAAATTTTATTTGATTTATTATCACATTTTTTTCCTTTTGCTACTTAATACACATTCAATATAATATCAATATAATGTTACTCTTATTTTATTTCTTATTTTATGTTTACTTTATGTACATATTTTATTGTTTTAAACCAACTTCCTCTGTATGCCTTAATTGGCTGTACCAGAATAATTAAAAACAAATATTAAGAGAAATTACTGGAAAGATAATTTTGTTTTAAGGTAGGCCCATGCCAAAGGTGGTGTCGCTCCGTAGAAAGACAACGGGATTTCTTAATATTGAGGGTCGTCTTTTGAGGCGATTGACAGTGGGACGCCCTCCCGAGGCCTTGCCTCAAATATAGACCCATTAATCATTACGTTTCTTCCCAGAACATTGGGCCGAGCACGTAAAAGGCTTTTGTCGAGCGGAAACAGCAAGCGACGCAACGAGATGATTTCTGAGGACGGATTTTTCCTAGCTATGTCACTCACGTGCAAATATAGACTAAGAGGGCTGCGGAGTAGTTTTTCAACGCCATCGTCCTCCGTGGGCGAAGGCCGCCAAAAAGTAATGAACCTAAATCAAAATTTATTTTAAAAAACGTAGTTTAAGTAGACAAAGAAAAACAGATACTCCAAATAAAAACAAGGAAGTTGAGTTCGATATCTGAACATAGAAAAATACTAGGTTGAAAATTAAAGTTACCATTTGGAGTTTTTTTCTACGACAAAAAGCAAAATGTTTAGGTGGTGTCTACTATATTGTGGGACAACCCGTATATGCAGTATTGTCAAAGATCCAGTACAGGCTATATACTGCCCAAAAATGAATAGGGATATTTGTATTTTTTTCGAGCGTTCAAACCAGTTTGATTTTTCGTGCGTTCTGGCGATCAATTTGACAGTTTTGGTATTTCACCGTGGATATAGATAAACTGATTAGTCTTGTTTTTGAGAATCGGTGTTTGTGAGACACATGAACAACAAAAAATACCACAACAGAGACGGGGAGAAAGTTTCTCAAGAAATCAACACTACCAATAAGCCACAATTGATTAGTGATCATAATTAACCATATTAATTATTCTAATGAATAATTCTTTTTATCTAAGGTTTTTGGTTGAGACGAAAAATTAATGCAACGAGCTGGATTCGAACCCACAACCTTAGGCTCAATACGCTGCTCCTCTAACCAATTGAGGCTATCAAGACTTCGATCTCCCTCGGATACCAACTCATCTTAACCTATAACCTTTCGAATTTTTCCTCTTTTTGCCATTTTTCAAATTTAAATTAATATGGTCAATTATGACCGCTAAACGTACATGGATTAACATGCATTTTTTTAAGGGACTAGCAATGAGTTTGAAACTCTTCCATCTAGTCTCTTGTGGAAAATTAGTGGTCAATACTGTTTTTCCTCCAACTATTATCAATACCTTAATCAATGGACTTTCAAGAAAATAAAACTCATTAAGTTCGTCCATTTTGATGGGAGGTAGAAACGTACTGACTATCAGAAAACGAGTACACTGTAACCTTGTTCTCTGACGAGGATTTCGGACGTATTCGTCAGAACAAAATTTCGCCAGAATTCGCATCCAAGTAACCGTAGCCTTAGTTGAATAAAGGAAAATAGAAAATACAAAAAAAAATGTTAATCCTCATTTTTAATAACGGATTTACTCAAGAATAGTAAACATGAAGGTTACTCATTTTATAAACGAACACCTTTTCTTGTCTTTTGTCCATTTTAATCCAGTTGTAATTATCTTTAAACATGGAAAGGCTTCATCTTGAACCTGAAGTTCTCAATACTATTGTGAGAATGAGTCATCAAGGTTACCAGCAAGTGGATATCGCAGAGGCAGTTTGTCTCCCAGGCTTTAGCCCAATTCCGAGATACGGGAAGTGCCAATAGGAGGCCTGGTATTGAACCTCAGCGTATTACGACGCTAAGGGAGGACAGAAATATTGTCATTGCTGCAAGGCCTTTCCACGGTGCGCGCAAGATCCTAAATGATGTACAAATGTTTTGGCGAGGCCTTTATCATCACAAATTTGTAATAGTTTGTGGGAAATTGGCCTCACATCATATGCCCCTTTGAGACGACCTGCAGCAACAGCCCACCACCAGCAACTCACGAGACTATGGTGAAGCAAGCGCCTAGAAGAGTACACCAATTGTAATGCCGTTATATTTACTGATGAGTCGCGTTCCTGTCTGTGTAGTGATAGTAGGCGTCGAAGAGTCTACTGAGAACACGGGATGCGTACATGCCCCAGTTGGTGCTCCCTTCAGTGCAGTTTGGAGGAGGCGGTGGAATGGTCTTGGCTGGAATTTACATCGGAGGACGAAGTGAACGCCATATTGTTGAAGGCAACGTCACCGCAGTCCGTTATGTCCAAGAAATTATCGAGGAATACATCCCTCTAACGTGAGATCTTATTGGCATAGTTTTTCGATATCATTGTTTAGAAAATCTGGGAATTTTCCATCTACCCCTCCCCCATTATCTCCAGACCTCAATCCCATTGACCACATGTGGGATGCTTTGCAGAGAAGGCTTTTCGATCACCTTCCGCAGCCAGTTGATCTGTAACAACTGAGTGCAGCATTGTTACACCTATGGAGTGAAATTCCTTATGAAAATAGTGACAACGTTGTTAACAGTATGCCTAACAGGTGCACTGAGGTTTTACCAACAGAGGACGTTATATACGTTATCAATTGTCTAAAAATATTATTCTGTCCAACAAACAAAACTATTGAATTAAAATCTTTTATTTTGTTATTTTTCCAAATCCCTTAAATGTATAATAAAAATGCTAGGGAAAGTTAATACTACAAAATTGGTAATATCCCTATTCATTTTTGAGAAGTTTATTTACAACGAAAACAATTCGGCTGGTCCGGTTAAACAGTGTTTTGAAATCAATCGATTACTGATCGGTCTGTCGCCTTCTTCCGAAAACGTTTGGCTGAGAGAGATGCTTGCTGCATAAGTCGAACTTGGTCACTGATAAGAATAGCCGCTCGTCGGTCAAGTTCCACTTACAAGCTCTGACCCCAATGAGCAACATTCGACCTCTCCGATTCACCGAAGGCATTTCAATTGGAACTTATTTCCGCCAGAATAATTTATTTCAATAATGTATGAATACATAATTTGAAAAATTGCATTATTACTCTTGTCGACCTTAATAAGTCACTATACTTGAATTGTAGATTGTCTCTGACTGTCTTGTCAGACCAATGGGGAGAGAAACCATCCAGTGCTGGAATTCTCTTTTATTTAAATGGGAGGGTTAAGACAGGAGGACACGAGGACATCGTCGTTTAAAATTTCAATAAGGGTGGGAGGTTGAGGAAATATTTTGCGCTATTGGGTTAGGGTGGAGGGATAGTGGAAATTGAGAAAGCGTGTTCGGATAAGATCCTTCACGAATGGATCATTTGATTGGTGTCGTAAAAGGGAGCATTGGGATAAGGCGGAGAACTTTGGATTGAAAGGATTGAATTCGTTGGATTTTGGAGGATTTTGTAACCTTGTTGAGTTTGTTGTATGCTTAGTGTCGATTTTGGTCCCAATAGGTGTCTGAGTTCTAGATTTTCTATTAAGTTTTTGTCGTGTGGATTCCGTGTCAATGTGCTATCTAAATAAAGCCCAAAATAGCGGATTTGTAGGGTCGAAGTATTACCTTATTTTAATAAATTAGTCTTTGCTAAAAAAGTAAAAAATGTAAATTGCTAAGGAAACTAAGAAAAAAACGGACAGATAAAATTTCTTTTAATTACATTTTTAATTATCATTTCAATGTCGCATATTTGTCTTAAGTACATCTCGAAGACGCCTCGGCATACTTTCTACCAGTCTGGAAATGACTCTTTGCTTTTAGGTAGGCCCATTTTTCACAAAGAGACCTTTCAAGATCGTGGAGTGTATCAGGAAGTGGATGCTCTTATTCGTTTTTTGAGGTTATGCTATAAATCTTTGATGGGAATCAAGTCTGGAGAACGAGCTGGCCAGGCTAAGACCCTGATGTCATGCTTTTGAAGGTACGTTTGTGCTATGCAAGCAATGTGGACGGGCATTATCGTGCATTAGAATAGGATGTCGCTGATTTCATCGAGGATAGGCAACGCATGATGTTTCAAAATTTCGTCCACATAGAGAGTGGCTGTCAAAGACCCTCCACGAACAACAACCAACTCTGTGAACTCAACAACAACCTCCATGGAAATTCCCGCCCACTTCAAAACTGAGCTACGTTGAAAAGGTTGGATCTGGGAAAAATTACAAGCTTCGTACCTTTCATTTCGCCTTCTCCACACTCTTACACGCCCAGCTGGAATTCGTAGAGCAAATCTACACTCATATGTAAAAAGTAAGCAGACCAATCGGCCAAAGACCAATGGCTGAGTTCTCGAGCATATGCGAGCCATGCAACTCTGGGTGCTCTGGTCAATTTTCGTCCTCTTACGGGGCGAAAAGCCATCAGTCCATATGGATTTAATCTTCCTTGAGTAACCACTAGGTCTTTCTTTCTTCTTATCCTGCTCCTTGGCCCTTGAAGAGCTTTGCAGGTAACTTTCACTGCCTAGTGGCCGAAGATCTATTCCCCCGCCGGAACTTAGCGGCGCCGAGCTGGCGCCCCCAGGATGGGCCTCGCGAAGGCGTCCGGTTGGGAACTGGGGGAAGAGCATCGTAGTGGCAGTGATTAATGCATACTTATCTTACTTTTCGGGTTACACATCGGGGCACTGGCCTAAGTTAGGCCGGCCAGCCTTTCTGCCTCATAATGGCCTTCCACAGCTTCTGCGTGGCCTTGCACCCGGCCGGGCTGGATATGGCACGACGCACGGTGTCCATGGAAGCCTCATCGACATCGGCTTCATACATCCATCGAGTGCGGAGGACAGTGTACATTTCGCACACAAGGGCTACGTGCTCGACCGTCTCACACAATGGGCTATCCTTCAGTCCTAAGCCGTGCAGCTTCGCCGAGAAGTCCCCGTGCCCCGTCAGCAATTGGGACATGTAGTGGTCAACCGTCAGGTGGGCCATGGCCAAGCGGTTCTCTATGCTCCTCAGTAGCAGATAAGTGTGCCTCCCATTGGGCGACGTATCCCGTCTGCGTTGCCATTCATCTTTCAGCCAGGAGTCGACCTTCTTTTGTTTGCACGGGGACACAGGGCTGGTACTCGTTGGCGAGTTCCTATGTAGCACACACAGCCTTTGCCTTCAGGTCCAGCGGGGGATGCCCGGCTATTACTGTCAAGGCATCTGTCGATGTCGTCCGGTAGGCCTGTGTGACCGCTAATAATGCCGCCCGTTGTGCGCTGCGGAGTTTCGCCCAATCGGCCTCTCGTAGCACTCTTGTCTACACAGGGGCAGCATAGAGCAGGACAGACTGGCACAATACGGAATAATATGTTTGCCTAGTTTTCCAGCAGATGCCCCACGTAGCACCACTCAGGGCTCTAATGGCCGCGATTCGGGCCGGTATCTTTTCTTTTGTATAGGTGGCGTTTACGCTGAATCGCGATCTTCTTTGAGAAAAAAAATCTTTGAGTAGTGCGTTCAGAAATATGGGCACCTCGAACTTCCTGGAGCTGATGAATCTCTTGAACAAAAGTAAGGTGCCGATTTCGCAAAATTCCCGAAGTCAAAAAACTGTCATCCTGTGGTTCTGTTTCCAGGGCGTCCAGAACCGGGCCTTCTATGGTAGGACCCAGATTCTCGTAGGGAACTCCGATGGCAATACCGCATACCTGATGTCCATCATAAATAAGACACCACACGCAACATCCTCAGCATTCCTCCTAGTGGCTTTTTTAGGTGTAAAAACTGAAATTAAGAAAACTAACAGTTTATTGCCAAATAATTCAAATGAGGCTGAATAGACATTTTAAATTCCATCAAAAGAAAAAATTGAAATATCCTTTATCCTTGTTTTGGATTAAGATTAAGCGTGTTTACCTCTAATTGATATTCCCAATTTAAAACAGCATAAACAAATATTTATTGATAAAAAGAATGAGACAAATTAATGGCAGAATTTTCTTTTATCGAGAAAATGAAAAACAAAAATCATTTGGGTGGAATTTTTTTGCCTGTTAGTGGTATGTATTTATATCAGGGAAAAGTAGAAAATTGGCTATGTATATTGTGAATAGGAAGGGTCCAACAATGCTGTCCTGGGGACACCTGTTTAATGTTCAATTAATAATATTCTTTCTTGTATCAAGAAAATGAAAAAAATAAATTGGATGAAATTTTTTGCCTGTCAGCGTATAATTTTACACCATATTAATTTATTTTGGAAATTTTTAGAAAATATATTTAACCATATATAAATTTATATATACAGATATTCATATTTTTTTTAGTAATAATAATTAAAACATAGTGTTGTAAATGTTACTCATCCTATGTTTTTAAATGTTTATTTTAGTAAAGCCATGGTTATAAGTTTGTAGCATTACATAATTGAAAAACCATTAAATGAATAAATTAAGAGTTATGTTGGTAGCCCGCACGTTTTTCAATTGTTATTCGTAATAATTGATTTTGTTGCATAATATCTGTGTTTATGTTTACCTTCGTTTTTACATACACATTACTTTTACGTTTGCAATACGTGAAACATATATACTTGTAATTATGAATTTAAAGCCCAAATAGAAGGATTTTAATAATGTTTATGTTTATGCTATTAATGAATATTTCGTAGAGCATAATTATTGTTAAGTGATGTTGCGATTTGCCGCAAACAGGGCCTCCCTGCCAACATTAAATTAACGCACTATGCATAAAAATGATAACTATTTGTATGCTCTCTTTTTTTTCTCCGGCAGACATTTTTCGTATTTTTACATTATTATTGTATTTTCTTTGTGTGCAATAAACTTTATTATTATTTCTATTTATTATATTATTATTTATGTATTTAGTTCTGCTTAATATGTAGGAGACGTGTTGCATACTTCCCTGAATAGAGCTGTAGATAAATGTTCGACCGTGGTGGGCTATCGTGTTTCTTAGTGAGTAATTGGTAATGGTTTTAATTTAGAACGCTTTTACAGTCCCCAAAGCCCTTGATTTTGTTTCGGAGTAAGATCTTTGGAACGTACCAGACCTAAAATGGATATTTTTCGTTGCGAGGCTTCGATCCTGAGACGTTGAGCCTTCAATGCCTCGTCCAAAATTATCGAAATCCGATCCCTCTTCCGGGTAAATGAGGTCGTGACAAAGGTGGCCGCACTCAGCGCTGTTTTGTTTGTTGACTTTACCTCGGGGCGCAAACAAAAGACGCGCGCCAAGTTTTCTGACACTTCAATGAATGTCCTTCGGGAACCCTTAAAACAAATAAAATAAAATAAAGAATTAAAAAATGTATCTATAATTATAATTCTTGAGAGTTAGTTGAATAATATACTCAACTATACAGGGTGTCCTTTTTAGATTGCACGGCTGAATTTCTCTTGAAACAATGACGCAATTATATATATACTTGTTTAATATATTTTAGTCTAGTTGTAAATTTTTACCTTTTTTTGTAGAAAAATTATGCAGTTAAATAGACCGCAGTCCGGTAGACCATTGCCTTGACAACAAATTGAGGGAAGCTATTGAACTGATTCGAGTAAAACATGTCAGGAGCTCACCAGTGTTCAACGTAGCTGAAACCATTCGCTCTAGCTTACATCGACTTAGGAAGACGCTGTAAGATGAGCAAAATGGGTCCTCACAAATTGACCTACGGTAACAAGCTTCAGCGCTTAAACTTTTGACTTTCATTGCTTTCACGGAACAAAGTAGAGACTTTTTTTGACCGGATTGTTACATGCAACAAAAAATAGATGCTGTACGGTAACACTGAGAGGTTGTGAATTGGCTGTGAACCAAATGACCCTGTCCCGACGCGAAAGCCGAATATTCACAAGAAAAGAAAATGTTTTGTTTTAAACTTACTTTGTTAAACTTTTAACCACTTTTTAGCATTTGGCTCACTTATTGATTCAACACAGAACGTGGTACTTATTGACGAGCTCCCTAGGCCGATAGTACTTACAATATTCATACAGTAAGCACGCAGGTTTTAAGCCATGAAAAAGAAAATATTTTATCATTTACAGTGAATTATTCAAGACAATTTTTCCTTACGAAATGACGCATTATGCTCTTGATAGTATATCATGTAAACACCTAAATTTAAATAATAATAGAAATATTAATTAACAATAATTATTCAGAAATCGTGAATTCGGTCGGTGTGATAGGCTTCAGAAAAACATTTTCTTTATCGTGCCAACGTTTCGATCTTTATTGAGATCATCTTCAGGGCCTGGGATTTACAAACATTGTTTGCATTTAACAAATACATTTAGGATGTTGAAAAGTGAATTTATACAATGCAAAATATATTTTTTATATTCAATCAAAGTATTTTTACTATCACACCATACCGCAACTCACGATTTCTGAATAATTATCGATTAACGGTCACTAATCACCACACATATTAATTAACATCAATAAAACAATAACAAACAAGAAATCGCAGAAACATTTCTGGCTAATTCCTGTCATACAGGAGGGCTTAGAATCCAACTACGCGTTGAATGTCGCGGTCGATGGGTCAAACCACTTAACAATAATTGTTCATACCATTATCAATTTAAAAGCCAAGGGCTCTGCAGGGATTCGAACCCAGACTCGCCACAAATGGCAAATACGAGTCGGACACCTTAACCCCTCCGCCACCGCGATCCTCAATCATATTGATAGTAGAATTATTAAAGGTTTATCGTTCTTTTGTTTTTTAAAATTTATTAAATCGCTTTATTTCTAAAAAACACGTTTATTTCGCAAAACTAGAGCACTTGAGCGGAAAGAGAGTGAGAGAGGGTGTGTGTGTGTTATCTGCAATGACAAATGGATGTATACATTGGCCTCCAACGTAACGACCGAGGTCAGGTTGCTCTCCCGAAGGATATCCCACCTCCTCCCTGTAGACCTTCCACGGACAAAATCACATTTCACTTCGGGGGGAAAATAAACATTAGGAAAACGGAGTAAAAGACCGTCTAACCAAACGATATCACCCTGACAACCATTACGCTACTTACTTTTAAAAAGTGAACTAAGAAATATTAACAATTATTTTTGCCGTGTTTAAACCTTCTACAATAACCCACACAACGGTACTTCGGTCATATATGCTATAGTCATTTTTTTATTTAATTATTACACATCAACATTGTTATATAATGCAAATATGTTGTCGTAAATACAGAAAAAATTTGAAAAAATTAAATTTCCAAGGGATAATTTGGACAACCCCTTCACCTACTTAATAGTTATGATGAGAACATATAATTCAAATATGAAGTTAAAAATAGTAGCTATTTCACGTGGACGTGATCATAAGTCCAGCGGGCAAATTGATGCACATGTAGTTTACAAAAGAAATCAGCTCTGACAGAGATTTCAATTATGTCTCTTCTCACTCTTTTGGTCAAAAACTGAATTTCGCTAATAATTTGATACACAGAGTTTTGTAACTAAGCAACACATGAAGTTAATGAACGAGCTTTCCGAATTTTAAGAAATAACAACTACCCAAACACATGGATTAATAGATTGTTAGAGATTAATTCAAGGAAGTTAATCAATGGTAACAAACCGATAGAAATATGAACAAACTTTCACTTCAAGAGTATAACGTACTCCCAGATAATAAAAAAATATATACCCGACATCACTGTTACACATATAAGAATAAAATGAGCTCTTTACATACTAAACTCTAGGTTAAGGAAGAAAAATTGAATTTATCGAATTTTGTGCCTTGGTACCATAATCAAATAAATTGGTCAAACAAAACAAAGAATAAAATATAGAATTTATGGTCATCTGATTATGGAAATAAATCCAGAACTGGTACATTCAATATCAAGTTGGGATGAATTTGACTTTTCGAATATTGAAATAATGTACAAATAGCCTCAATTACTCAGAAGAAGAATAAAAGAGGTTCAATCCTTTGTAAAAAGATAGTTCCTACTTGTTTTGCAACTAGATATAATATAATTTAAAAAAAAAATTAAATAAAGGGTATCTAGGAATATTTATTCATAGGTTGCTAGTTAAAAGAATAAAAAAATTAACTTTAAACGAATCTACAATAGGACTCAGCTACCCCACCACAGATGAATCATTAGCTTTTCGTTGTTTGCCATATATTGGTGAATTATCGGAAAAAGTTAGTAAAATTTTTAAACAAAAAGATTTTAGAATAACTTTGAGAAGTACGGGTTCACTTAAAAACACCCTCTCAAAACCTTAAGGCAAGGTAGACAACATGGCAAAAAGCGGTATTTAAGAACTCAATTGTAATGATTGTGATATTAAATATATAGGACAAAGCGGTAGAGAAATAAAAACAAGAGTAAAAGAACACTTGCCTAAATAGAGCAAATTTTCGGAATTTAAGGACCATCTAAAAGAAACAAAATATAATATCAATTCAAATTTAAATACAACAGTGTTACATAGTTTCAACAAAGGGAGAGAACTAGATTGGTTTGAGAAATTTGAAATTAAAAAATGTTAAATTGAACATGGTGATAAATGCATTAATAATATAACAGATTTTGATCTACCTCCCATTTTAAATATGTACATAAATAATATTAAACGTCCAAATAATTAAAGTAATTATTTTAATTGTTATTATTTGTATAATAATTTAATAATATTAAGGTATCATTCTAATTTTTTATCTTTTATCTTTAATCACTAATTTATAATTAATTTCACAGTATTTACTATTATAATATTTATTTGTTTTATAATTACCGCTTTTCGCACGTTCAAATTGAGCGCCATTAAAAAACCATTGGAACGTCGCATTGGCAGGGGTATCAGCGGGTTTACTTTTGCAATTCATGTCGAGAGACGTGGTTGTAGAAGTCCTTCGACCTGATGATGATCTAAAGGGCTCGAAATCCGGTCGTTGCAAAACAACTTACTGTGAGTAGGAACTATCTTTTTAAAAAGGATTGAACACCACACTCACTCCATCATTTATCATTTCTAAACTAGAAAATAATAATTTTAACATTCAAACAGATACTATGGACTCAAGTTCAATTTGAGATCGCCTGTAAAAACTTAAACATGTCAATCTGTAGGCATGTTTAAGGTTTTTTTTAGGGTCTATAGTTGTATTGATTGGTAAATTGGTTATACATTTATGTTTTTCATAATGTGAAATTAATATAGGGCCTTAAAGTAAGTTGAAATCTTGGCAGTAGCAACCAAATTTGCTTTCTTCGATACCATGCCTTGATCTTGAGTGTTCGTAAGTAAAAATGTGGGATACTTCTAATACTGAAAACGGAAAAATTAAAAATAATAACACTTATCATCTTTTTGTTTTAAACATTTGCATTATATGAACAGTTATCAAACAAAGAATATCCCATTTATTGTAGTATCGTTTTCATTAAAATGATCATAATTTTTTAACCATTGTAATTGAGTTCATTTATTATCATGAAATATTACAATTTATGTGTGGTGATTAGTGACCGTTAGTCGATGATTATTCAGAAATCGTGAGATGCGGTCTGGTGTGATGTAGGTTTCAGAAGGCACTCTCGACACGACACGCAAGAATGGCACAATTACGCAGAAACTTTGAGCCCTGAAGATGGTCTCAATAAAGATCGAAACGTTGACACGATAAAGAAAATGTTTTTCTGAAACCTACATTACACCAGACCGCATCTCACGATTTCTGAATAATTACAATTTATAATTAAAATTTCTTACCTTGTAAATGTTTTCTACAAATGTATTCTTGTATTCTTTTATGCAACATAAATTTTACTATTTGCGTTACACTTTAGACCCCAGGGAAATTTATTTTATTTATTAACTTTTGGAACCAAAAAGGTAATTATCGTATTTTTTAAAGGTAATTCTAAAGATGAAAATTGTTGTGATGTACAGAATTTCTAAACAAAGCAAAAATATTAGTACATTAAACTGTCAAAAAAAAATTACTTTCAAAACATAAACGTTTTGGTACAAAATCAACATTCATTAGTGATGTATGAATATTTATTGGTACATTAGTGATGTTGTGATGCGAAAGGAATACTTGAAAAATTTCAGCGATTTTTTAGATTTATTTTTACAAATAAATTACTTGCCTCGCCATCGGTGACTCGAACCTTCATGAACCTTTGAAACTGCCCTTTTCTCTCCTATTATCTCTCCCCACTTCATCCGAAATACCGATTAAAGTCCTTATCTCTCCCATGTTTCTTTCTGCTCAAAATTACTGCGCCTCGAGGAATAAAAAAGACAATAGTACGGTTCAAAGTGTGGTTAACCCTGTCCCATAAACATTTTTCGTCTTCTATCTCAGAACATATGTCTTCATGAAGTGCTCGACTTCTCCCAAGTAAGATAAGTACCATGGATCATGAAGAATGTCTGCTATACTTCTGATCAATACTCATTTTATAAGACAATATAATAGGAATATTAAGTTCATCATAAACCAGTTGTACAAGAAAACGTCCATCTGGTTGAGTTACGCGGTTTATGAAACTCCGGGGCGAATTATTTTATTTAAATTTAATTCTATGCCATAGCTTGAGAAGGACTCTAAGGTGGAAAAGAGCACGCTTTGGAATGTAAACGTTCGAGAAGACATCACTTCTTGGGTTATGTCCACACCTCTGCCTCTTAGGAGTAGAACCAGTTACTTCGGTGAGGAAAACTTGTCGAGCAGCAAGAAATTCTCCCATTTTTAACTGGATCTGATGTTCGACCTTTAATTCAATTATGCCCGACACGCCTGGAGAGTGAGATTTGGTGGTTGTCAGGCATGTATGAATTCCCGCATCATTTTTTCCTTTAAAATGATCCCGCTTGTTTGATTCCCACTTAAAAATATATTATTCAGAAATAGTGAGATGCGGTCTGGTGTGATGTAGGTTTCAGAAAAACATTTTCTTTATCGTGCCAACGTTTCGATTTTTAATGAGATCATCTTCAGGGCTCAAAATGTTTGTTTTATGCATATCGTGCCATTCTTGCGTATCGTGTTGAAAGTACTCTAACAAACACTCTGAGCCCTGAAGATGATCTCAATAAAGATCGAAACGTTGGCACGATAAAGAAAATGTTTTTCTGAATCCTACATCACACCAGACCGCATCTCACGATCTCCGAATAATCATTATTATTATTAAATCTTTTTCAATGGCTCCAGCCAGATATTTGAGTGAGTACGAGAGTGTCAGGGTCATATCATTATTAGAGAACAAATACAGCCAGCACGACGTCGCCAGGAGGCTGGTGTAAATCATTCTACAATAAAAATGGTTCTTCTATGCTTTGGAGAAACAGGGCTTCATACGGGAAAGACCAGAACAAGGACCTAGGTCATCCTTCATCAGGCTCTACGAAGACGCAGCAATACGAGAAATGAGATAAGAAATTGGATGAAGTGAGAGTTGGCCCCAAATCTTCAGATGGGCGTAATTTCATATGGAGACGCCCAGGAGAAAGGTATGCCCTTGCTGTATGGTTCCTCAGGTGGTATTCCATGGTGAGCCATTGATGTTCTGGGATGGCATTTTCTTGGACGCCCGCGCCGAATTAGTTGTTTGGCGAGGAAGATCTCTAACTTCACAGAGGTGCTTACAAGACATAATCGAAGAACATGTAGTGCCATTGCCCCCCCCCCCGCCACATCGGTGAGGTTTCTTGGTAATGCAGGAAAATGGTATTCCACATAGAGCACATATTGTGGATGACCGTTTGAATGAGATTGGAATTGAGTGCTTCGTGTAGCCAGCTCAAAGTCCAAATTTGAACCAAATCGAACACATTTGGGACTACCTTAAGCGACGAGTACGACGAACACAGATCCTAACACCCTAGAAAAGTTGGAAACGGCTTTCTTGATCAATGGAAAAGAATTCCTCAAGATTTTATCATAAATTTTCCAAGGAATGAAAACGCTTCATTTGCATGCGATTCGTGCCAGAGGTGGAAATACTCGGGTTTAAAAGGGACAAAAATGTATAAAATATGCATAAACCTAAATACATTAAAATTTAAGGGTGGTGCGTTTATTTTGTCTATCACTATATTTGTAAATATTTTTTTTTGTTTTAAAAAACAACCGGTTAGCATATCTTTCATTTCTTCTGCCAGCTCTTGATCTATACGCCTTTTCTCGGCAACGTTATATTATTATTAATTATTATTATTGATCTTTTCTACGGCAATTTTTCCGCTGCTGGTGACTACATTATCGTTTCAATTTCTCACGAAACCCAAAAAAGAGCATTAAAATTAATTTTCAATTTCATGAAAGAAGGCAAATTGATCATAAATGTCCAAACGCAAACGCCACATTCACAAAAGAGATCGTTTTCAAAATTCGTTAAAAGACCGTTTGTTAAAAGATCGCAAGATTTACATACCATGTCTTACTCTTGACTTAATATATTCATGTCCAGTATGCCCGACAATTTAGGAGCTCGTGCAGCACGGCACGGTCAAGAGTCGTTTGGCCCTTAAACGGTTTTTATTTAAGACTTGGCTTCGAAAGAGGCACTCGTTCTAAAGTACCCTCCTATTTGTAACGACCCGACGAACGATTTAATACTTAACCCTAATAAACACTTTTGGACACTATAATCGAAAAGGTGTTGTAAAATAAGAATTACATAACGACACAGCGTGATCAGTTCCCACGTCCTCATTTTTTATATACTACTGTTAGAAGGATGTACGTGTAGTGTGAACGTTATACAGCCAATGGATCAATTAACTTCTTTTACTATTAAAAAACATAGAAATCAATCCCAAATATTGATTGATAAAAATTCACATGTCAAGATGATCGTCAATAATATTGTGTAGAGATTAGTGACCGTTAATCCATAGTTATTCATATATCGTGAGATGCGGTCGGGTGTGATGTAGGTCTCAGAAAAACATTTTCTTTATCGTGCCAACGTTTCGATCTTTTATTTGGATCATCTTCATGGCTCAAAGTGTTTGTCTTCTGTGTAATTGTGCCATCCTTACGTGTCGTGTTGAGAGTACTCTAACAAAGCACAGAAGAACCATTTTTATTGTAGAGTGATTTAAAGTCACTCTCCTGCCGACTTCGTACGAGCTGTATTCGTACTCTAATAATGATATGACCCTGACACTCTCATGTCATCCAAATGCCTGGCTGGAACCATTGAAAAAGATTTAATAATAAGAATAATAATTATTCGGAAATCCTGAGATCTGGTCTGGTGTGACGTAGGTTTCAGAAAAATATTTTCTTTATCGTGCCAACGTTTCGATCTTTATTGAGATCATCTTCAGGGCTCAAAGTGTTTGTTAGAGTACTCTCAACACGACACGCAAGAATGACACGTCTACACGGAAAACAAATACTTTGAGCCCTGAAGATGATCTCAATAAAGATTGAAACGTTGGCACGATAAAAAAAATATTTTTCTGAAACCTACATCCCACCCGACCGCATCTCACGATATATGAATAACTGTAAATTAATTAGACTTAATAAAACTTCTACAATTATTATAAAATCCATTATATTTCGTGGTCCGATTGACCAAATAACTTCTTTCAATTAATTAATCTTTATGTAAGGCATTGGTTGAAATAAAAAAGCCAGTGTCACGAGCGGAATTCGAACCCACGACCTTCGGCTAAATACGCCGTTGCTCTACCACTTGAGCTAACGTGACTTCAATCCACTCGGACATCAACAACAACTTCCCATCACAACCTATCTTTCGAATTTTCCCTCCTGACTTTTTAAATTAATAAATAGAAGCACTCATACAACTTTCTGATGCAATAATAGGAGCCTAAATAAGTGGAAACATGCCAGGAGACTAAAAAACCTAATAACAAAGCCTGGGATCTACAAATTATCGATTGATTAGCTTATCTTGTCTTCCGAAATTATATAAAGACTTTTACAATAGCACGTTGATCCTCCTGATCAATGTATCGAAAACTTTCTTTTAATATTATATTGCAGAGTTTTAATGTAAAGGTCATCCTCAGCCGATTAAGGGTAGGCCATGCGAGGTTGGCAGACACTTTCGGGTCAAAGCCTTCGTACGTGTCCAGCATGTAATGAAAGGTTGCTCGATATGTACCACCAATTGAAGGGTGAAACTATTTGGATCTATGTAGCGAGCGTGTAGGAATGCCACCCGATATGGAATCGTGCTTGAGCAAGGGGGCGAGTCCCCTGTTCCTATTTTTTGGAGGAAACAGGGCTGTTTTTATTATATATATACTTTATTGTTTTGCATACGTAGCATGTGTTGTGGGTGAATGTATTTATTGGCGTCAATATGTGGTGTAAGAGGGCTAATGGCCATCGACCTTCAATTAGCTTAGCTATGTATAAAGGGTAATGGAGGGATATCGAATACTTCACAACCAATTGAGAGAATGGTATGCAAATAGGAAACATTTTTAAGAATGAGTGAGAGTGCGAATAGGTTTGGATTTAGGAACTGATTGGGTGCTGGAATAACCCGAAGTCTAACCTTGGTGGCTGAACGTCGTAAACTACGAAAGATGTCTGCGAGAAGTGATAGGCTCAACTCTGCACATTCGAGTATGTTTATAATTTTTACATGTGTGGATTTGAGCTTATTTAAATCCAAGTCCAAATATATAAACTTTTATCGATTATTTAAAGATGATTTTATTATTCTGTCCATTACAAGAACATTTGCACGAATGGTATACATTTTATTTTTCACTTCAATTGTACCATAAATTTAATGTATTAAACCTAGTAATGACCGTCCTCCGATCCCGTTTTTTACAAAAATCTTCCTCCTGGGAGGATGAAGTTCAAATATATATTCTGTGGACGAGCAATGCGAATCTGATGTAAGAAATAAGAGAAATGGTTATTTGGAAGGAGCTGGTGTGCTTTTGATGACAGCTAAGGTTGCATTTCGTAATCTGGGGGCTTTCACCAGCAAAAGACCTGGCATAAGAAAGTTGGAAGGAGGACGTGGATCGTGTTTTTTTTTTTCTGTGTATGTGAAAAATTCTCTCCAGAAGTTGGATCGCTCTGGTACGAGAGTCGGCAGCCGACTGGAGTTGTCATCCCGCGAGAAGGGGCGGTGGAGAGCATGGAGCATGCGCCCGCGAGCATAACTGGAAGAGCATAAATAGGGGCGGAGGAGCGGCAGCACGCCAGTAGTGTTTGTTACACCAACGTTCGTTTTTGTGGATTTGTGCTGACTTGTGTTATTTTGTGCCAGCCGTGAGCTTTTGACAGCCCGATCGGAGAATCGACATTACTAACTATAAAAAAAGTAAGTAGTTCACAGTACACAGTACTTCGATAGCACCCAATCAATTTTAAACGGACGTCAAAAAATTTTTCGAATTAAAAAAGTTTAATCCGACGGCTCGAAATTACTCGACGAGGCGTGAAAGTTTCTTTTTGAAATCGATTTCGTTGTAACGAGCGGTATTCTCTTTAACACCGGCCAAAGGTCACCATGCCGGTTATGGGAAAGATATTAGAAATTAGTAAATTGCCTGGCAGGACGTTTCATTTTACTCACGTCAGACGTCTTTACCGTGTTGCAGAGAGGACGATGAAGACGGAGGAGAGGAACACCGCAAACTCTCCCAGGGTCAGGATTGTCGTACTCGGGATGATCAGCGTCGGAAAATCTGGTGAGCACACTTTCAAAATACAAATAAAATGAAGCTGTAAAAACGCAGAAAAACACTGTGACTAACTGAATACTGTTTTGTTTCACAGCTTTGACAGTCCGCTATCTGACAAGACGCTACATCGGCGAATACCGTTCAAATACTGGTGAGTTACTCAATTTTATGATGTTAAAAAAAAGGGTGTATCGGACGTTACAATTCGGTCTTAAGAACGGACGATGTTGGCCAGAATTTATAATGCAACGTTAAAGTAAAGAAAATTAGAAAAAGGAATAATAACTCATTGCCACTTAATTATTTGTTCTACCCGTAAAAAGTGTTATACAAAATGTTAGAATTTTATGTGATTTTTTTCCCCAAAAATTTCTGGATGATTCTCATTCAATAAAGGCAGCATGTGAGTGAAAATTGTAAAATGTGTCATTTACCTTTAAAAATAAAACGAATTTATATAAAGTACAAAAAAAAATCTCGGCTAGGAACAGCAGAGGAGAACGTGAAAATAAAAGAGAAAAACTCGAAGTGAAAATGACATTCCCGGCGAAAATCTTTATTATATAATATCCGAATGAAAATACCCGGGAACCTCGTCAGAAGGGTCCGGCGGCGGAAATAGTTTTGAAAATATCGCGGCAAAAAGTGCCAAATGCCAAATTTTTTCTTTAGTGTCGCCGAGTACACCCGGTATATTTAGTCGGGCTGGACTACCGCCAAGTGCCTATCTTAACTTTATATCATATCAGCCCGACCTGTACCAAATTCTTAAATTGTATCCGCCAAAGCATCACCATGTCAGTCGACGTGATTCGAATTGTCAATGAAAGTCTTATTGCTGTAATCTAAAATTACAGATTACATCACCTACATTAAAAAATACAGATCATAAAGGTCACGATATATCGAGTGGTTAGAGCGGCAGCGTATTAAGCCGAAGGTCGTGGGTTCGAATCCCGCTCGTGACACTAACTTTTTCATCTCAACCAAGACCTTAGTAAAAAGATTAATTAATTGAAATTAAGAAAATGGTTAAACTGTTTCTATGGTAGATTCTGTTCGCCCACAACCCATTGCTTTACATCACCCTTTTCAGTAAAACCAATCAAAGTACATAAGTGGTAGGTGTTGGTTTTTTAAAAAGTACAATAATTATGCCCCTTCCAAGTGAATTCTTTGATCTTTACGAGTTTGAATTTTCCTCTAAAGAGACTGTCAGCAAAAAGGAGAGCAGAGTGGGTCAACGATAGTTTTGAGAAACGGAAAGAATTGAAGAAATTTTTTGGTGGAAAAACTTGGATTTTTGGTCCCAAGGTAGCCGTCTTGCCTCCACATGTATAATTAATTTGTCGCTATCCATGGGGCGATGCGCGATTTGATGCGACAAAATCCCAACTAGTTCTTCGCCTCTCGTGTCGCGCGCTTCCTGTCCAGCCTTACAATTTACATTTTTGATAAGGGAATTTCAACGGCCGTGAAAGTGCCTACAGATATTAAATTGAAAGTATTGATTCAGCCCAAATAATCGGTGAAAGCTCTCGTAGACCTTGGATAAATTGATTGAAACAAAACTGTTATTTCTTTTTGTATATTTCATTGTTTTTCCACGTAATTTTTTCCACGAATGGCATATCATCCGTCACTGTATCGGATATGTGTATTTCTGCTTTTAAACTCCACAGATAATTGTTGACATGTAATTGCAGCGGTGCGGCGGAATGTTTTTCGTTTGAACTCGTTCTCCGAACTCTCTGGGCCGTAGAAGATAATGGACATAATACTTTCGCGTATATTGAAATCATTTCGTAACTCTATTAACCCGATGATTGATCTCTGGAAAGCTTTCTCTTATGAAATATCACGGACTAGATGAACCGCCTACTTTGTAATGATCGGGTTACACTCGTGATAGAGGCGTACGTTCGCAGGAAGTCGGACCGAGGCGCCTCCGAGTCCGGCTGATAGTCCCAGAATGTGCGAGGTCATCAGAACTGGGACTCGGACGGCCGATGAAAAAAGGCCCGACCCTAGGGCCATTAAACCAATAATAATCCGACAGACTTTTAATTCTTTATTCCATATCAATAAAAGTTGGTCACGCTGCTGACATTTAACATTTAACCATGACGCTTTCTCATAGTTCACTGCAAAAAAATAAATAAATGGGTGGAAGCGGAGAAAGTGGAAAAATTTCGGACCCTTCGAAATTAACACTTTTTAAGAATTTATGGATAGTTTGATATTTTATTTAATTAACAAACCACCACTATAATGCAATACATCTTACAATAATAAAAATATGACATAATAATTTTTCTATTGTTTGATAGTTTCTCGTCATCCTGATCTGCCTATCCTCGCTGATTTTTGTTGGTTCCTTCCAGATAGGGAGACCAGGATGAAAGATAACTCAAACAATGGTTTATCATCACGCAGACCAAAGGAGGAAATCTCACAATTAATTTTTTCGCCTTTTTACAAAATATTGAACTTCCCCTCATTCCAGAATGCTGCTTAGTAAATGAGGAAAAATTCCGACCGAGATCTCTTTTAAACCGTTACTTTTATTTAACGGATCATCTCGGAAATTATGAAATTCTCTTACCAGCTTTTGTTTTGCGTGATGTTCTAATGGTTTTAATGTGCAATTCGAACGGGTTTTCATCGCGTTTCGACGCTAACGGATAGTTTAGCAGCTTTTCCAGGGTCTTCAGGCCGTGGGAGGGTCACAAGTCCGTAATTGCCGACACCCGACGCCCACACGTACTTTCCCTTAAACGATTATTGCTTTTTAATTCATTGTGATTTTCTCTTTGCAGACCTGTTGTATCGCCAGACCGTTACGATCAACAACTCGCCGGTGGAAGTGGAGATCATCGACGTCTCCGGAGAAACGGTGAGTCTCACTTTTAAAGTTCATTTTTAATATTTCAGGACTGTTTTAAATAAAGCTAAAATAATACTGAACTGCAATGAACCAACATCAAACGTTTTCAAATTGCAGACAAATTCCTTATCTTTTACACATTTGTGTATTGATCAGATCTAATTCATCTAATGCCCCTCTCTGTCATGAGCAAAGGCCAAATTGATAAAATAAATGAAAATGTTAGTCTAACGCTTGTTCTTCTCTTTCTGCTTGGTCTAATGTTTTGTTTTTCTTTTTTTCAGAGGGATTCCAGTTTCCCTGTGGAGCAGGTTCAATGGGCGGATGGTTGTGTTATAGTCTATTCCATCACCGACAAGCAGTCATTCCAATATGCAGTTGAATCACTGGAGAACCTCCAGAAATTGCGTTCCGTCTCGTCGGTTCCTGTCACGCTTTTAGGGAACAAAGCGGATTTGGCCCATTTGCGTGAAGTTACCGAAGACGAGGGAAGGAGTGCCGCCCTGAGGAACGGTTGCCAATTCTACGAGGTGTCCGTCGCTGAGAATAGTGCAGATCTCTACCAGGCGTTCGAGTCCCTGCTCAACGAGACCCGTTGCCAGCAAGGCAACTGCTCGAACAAGACGCGCAAGTTTTCCGTCACGAAAATGATAGGGACCTTGATCGGCAGCAGTACTAGTAAAAGCGGCCAACCTGGGGCAAACCAACACGGCGGCACGGTGGTCGTATGTCATAAGTCCGACTTGCACAGGAACCGGGTACTCAAACGACGTCAGAACTTCACTGCTACGGCATCGTTGTGACTCGAGTCGCAGACGGCTGATACTTCTGCTTGAAGCCCTCATGAAGAGGGAGTCTGTCTGTTTTTGGCCGGCTTATAGCCCTGGAACAGGTGTAAGCGTTGTTCCTTTTCCGGGAAACGGCTGACGTTTCGGAGAGCTTTGTTTTCAAGCTTCCACTTTGAGAAGATCTATCTCTGAGCTGTACGACTCTCAATTGGAACGTCTCCGACCGTTGTGATAGCTCCGTTGTGGGAGCCTTTTAAGGAACATTTTAGGTCTGTTAGGTGCTAATGAGGATGGTTATTATTTATACTTGTTCGATTCCTATTCTCGACACATTCATATCACACAAATTATCGTGTAATGTTATCTTTTATCGAGACAAATGCATGAAAGGAGTATACTTTGTGTGTAGATAACATGTAGAGGCAAATTTATTTTGTAGTACAAAGTAGAATATAAAGCTTCGACTTTCGATAGCTCAAAATTATTAATTATTAATTAGCAGTTTATGTTTCTATTAATTTATTTAAACTTTTTATTGTGAGAAAGTCGCCAAAGAGCAAAAAAGAACTAGTTACCATTTATACTATTAAAATAATGCATTCATGAGTATAAATTAGTTTATATCGAAGCAATTATTATTAATATAATATGGCCTTTAATAACATTTTGTGAAATAATTAGGCAATTATTGACTAATTACTAATAATCACAATTGAATTGTAACTTATATCTGCCAAACGAGGGCACAATAAATTAGAATCATTGTTTAATAATTTTTGTATGAATCTAAGTAAAATAAGGCTGTGATTATTTATAAAGTTCAAAATCTGATATTGCCTATTTGTTTCGTGGTGTTGCGTTGTCAGAAACGTACATGGATTGAATGGTCCTAAATGAAATTTTTCCAGACTGTCGAGTAAGATTATTTAATGTGAAGTGTACCTTATATGTAAGAATGATTTTTTTTTTACAATAATAAAACTGTTTGGTGTATTACAGAACCACCGTGCTTTTGTCATTCCCATCATCCAACAAAAAAAATGAAATGTAGTTTGCACTTAAATTTTTTTATTCATTGAAGGTAACAATATGAAGCTTAATTTAAATGTTTGGCAAGTGTCTTAATTTGTACACTCATAAATTTGGGAGAAATTAAATAACACGCTAAAAAAAAGAAGAGATGCAAAGAAAAGCACCTTCAGAAGAAGTACAAAAAATTTTACATACACATACATTAAATGCAAATGGTTTAGTGGAGTTTTTGCCTAGTAACAATTACCTCCACAGCTAGTTAATTTATAACTAAATGATTATAAATCACATAATATTTTTATTGGGGGGAAAATATTAAGATTAAAATCCCCAGCTATCACGGCCAAGTTATAAGTGTTCTTTCTTCTTCTGTGCTTGTACCTGTCAACACATCAACATTTTGTTGCATTCTGCAGTTCTAATATGCATGTATATTGGGCCAAGTCTATCACAAGCATCAGAAACTTGTTCTGCTTTAGGTTATGAAGCACATGGCCAGCATTCGGTGGCTTGTTCACCATATATAACCGAATGCTGGCCATGTGCTTCATAACCTAAACCATTGCGTTAGTTTTTTCCGATGAGAAAAATTTTTTCTCTTCTTTCTTGGAAAAGTATGCACTGATGTTTTTGATTGTTGATTGTTAAAATGTATATTAATTAAGTATATTTTCTTAATAAATAGGCCCTAATGATGGCAACATAATGTTGCCGAAAGCTTGGTGATTACAACACTTTTGTCCTTCTTTCACCTAGTAAAGACCTTAAAGAAGATATTGAACTCTACATTGATTATCTGCAGGTCAATCTACAAACATCATAATTCTTACATTAAAGGCTAGCATTATGTCATCTACTATCCTGTGTAATTAGGCAGAGGTAGATCCTGGCCTGAAAACAAACAATGATACTGTTTTCATGCAAGACTGAGCTATGCGGTGAGCATAAAACGTTCACACACCTTGCTAACAGAGCTAATTAGGCTAATAGGTGTGTAACTGGTTGGATCGGATGCCAAGTTTCAAAATGAGAATAACTAGAGATTTTCCAGCATTATGGACAGAAAAGAAGAATATTTTGTTGAAGATGTTTGTTAGGTGGACTATGGCTTTTTGTGGAAGATTTTTAAAAAGAATGTTTTGAGTATTGTCAAGGCAAGAGGATTTATGCGTTCTTGGGGGATTTTATAATTTGATGTTTCCCTGGGTCAGGTGAAGTTACATTCAGTAGGCTGATACTGCTAACTACCGATGTAGCATAAAAATGTGAAACTAGTACTAGAGAATCAAAAAAGTGTGTTCTTTTCTTTAAATACCATTAATCAACATTTCAGTTAATACGAATAGCACTAACTTTTCTTGTAAAACTGGAAGTAAAATATAAACACAGGTATACTTAAACAATTCTAATTTATTTATCAACAGACCAAATGGTATATCACAGAGTGGTATGTTGTAAAACATTTTTTTTTTTAAATATTTACTTAGAAACTTCTTCGCTAGCATCAGTTTCAAAATATGGAACATACTGTAAGGAGAGAACTTGGTCACCAACACTAGTCCATCCTGGTAGCAAGTATCTAGCGAACAGCTCTATGCATTTAGGTTTGTTCGGCAAATAATCAGATAATATTTCTACAAAAAAAGGTAATAATTTATATTTTTGAACGATAAGGATTTTAACAATTCTACCTGGCAAAGGAGGTTTATGGGAGTGTACAGAACTAGGCACACTAACTATTATCTTATTTTCTTCAGGCACTCGATTGTTGTGCCCACATACATGTCCAAAAATTATTCTCTCGTAGGGTTTTTTGCTGTGATTTCTATAAAATGGACAAATCGGCTCTCCTGATCGAGTGACCTGAAATATCCGAATGTTTAAATGTTTCATTTCACTCAAAATTAAACTCTGACTCACCTTAACCCAAAACCAAGTCGCACAGTATTCTAAACCCCATTTCTCGAATAAAGTCTCTTTGACTGATTCTATATGAGATGGAGCATTAGTGCACCACACTCCTACTAAGCCATTATTATTTAACATTTTGGAAATAGGAATTTCTTTAATATCGTCATTACTTAACATATCGTATCTACAAAGCATGTACAAACTTATACAAAATCAAGGGAAAAATGTTTGGCAAAATTATTCATAACTTTAAGTTGATTTAATTACTCAAGTATAGATATAATGACTTGCATAATTACTATAACTACAATAGAAGATAAGTTAAACTTTTTCTTTTCATGATTTCATGGGTACAAAAACAGTCTACATTAACTCTAAACAAACAAAACTAGATAAGATTACAAAAATACTTTTTTTAAGGCTAGAATTATCCTACAGGGTAATGTTAACACTATAGCCCCTTCCATGAATTTAATATAAAATTAAGTTTTAAAAAATATATATAATTTTATCGTTATTTATATGGTTTTTTTTTTAAACATTCAATGTGGCTGACCAGGAGTCAGGACATAATGTATAAGATTGCTTTTTAATTATTTTATTTGTACCTTATACATATTAGTACATATTACAAATGTGATCATAAAATATTTTTTCACACGGTCAAAGCACTAACTCTAACGCCATGAGGAGGACAATGCTGGTACTCAGTGGGAGGGATTAAGGGGCAAGGAGATCTCTAGGCCAACATTAATTAAGGCGACATGGTGAGTTCTTAGGATGGATCAAAAGTTTGCTGCGTAACTTTTGGAATTGGGAACTGATCAGTTCATTAATAAAAAGAATTAATTAAGGTTTTTAGTTGAGATAAAAAAGTCAATGGCACGAGCGGGATTCGAACCCACGATCTTCGGCTTGATACGCCGCTGCTCTACCACTTGAGCTATCGTGACCTCGATCCACTCGGACATCAACTTTCCATCTCAACCGCACCTTTTGAATTTTCCCTCCTTTTTGCCATTGCGATTGGTGTAGTTGAGATGGGAAGTTGGTGTCCGAGTGGATCGAGGTCACGATAGCTCAAGTGGTAGAGCAGCGGCATATCAAGTCGAAGATCGTGGGTTCGAATCCCGCTCATGCCATTGACTTTTTTATCCCAACTAAAAACCTTAATTAACTGTAATATATTAATTGGTCAAGCGGACCACGAAATTAGTGAATTTAATAAAAAGAATGTTCAGGTTTTTGTAAATAGGGAGGTTAGTGATGTAGTAAAGAGCTTTGACGACTTGTCTGAGGACTTATGATTGGTAGGATTGGATGCGCTGGATGTTGGATGGCTTGGCAGAACTCCAAACTCCGTAGTCCAAAGTAAAGTCTTGTATAAAGTTAGTTTAGTTTTGAGGGTCGTCAGATTAACTAAGGTAATAAGAAGAGGTAGGAAGCAAAGTATGCCCGGATGCCAAACCTCAATAAGGAATGCATCCAAGAAAAAGAAAATTAATTTAAATAATATTTGCCACTGTGGAAATTGAAATTGTACTCAGCATCAAATGTGTTAATCAAATATCTAAGAAAAGCATCACATCAATCCTTTCCCATCTAAAATATCTACAAGGACAGCTTACCCTTGGTTGAGTAATTTTTTTCTTCGGACGAATTTATTCCTCCAGGGAGGGTCAAGAAGGACAAAGTCATATCTAGAACCGTCTAATTTCTGTTCTATTGCCCTTATGTCACATGAGAAAAAGAGACAGGATGAAGGGATGACATAATCTCTGCCTTCGATAGTTGCTATCAAAGGCGAAGCAGAGTTATTGCCTCCTTTACAAATCAGTTTGTGTGAAACGCTCGACAGCCTCTCAGCGAATTCCCTCGCATCTCGGTTATTGCTCAAATAGTCTTCCTCGCTGGGTTCACCGAGAAAAAGGTTCTTCTTCTTAGCTAAATCCACTATTTCTATGAACAAATTTTCAACGGATTTTATCTGTAACACAAATAGTGAGACCTAGAATAATTAAAGTACAACAGCTTGATGAAAAAAATAAACTTTTCAATAAGAATATTTTTACAGTCCTAAAACTGAAAATTTTCACCTGAAAAGGCCGGGAATGTGAAGTGCTAGAGATTACAAAAAAGGCTTGTTTTTTAGCTCACTAGTATTAATAAAATTGTTAGATCAATTCTCCCTTAAAAGATGAAAATCTTTAATTAATTGGAATTCGATTTATTAACGGGAGAAAATCGTTAGAATTACTTCGTGGTCGAACAGAGTCGACTTGACGCCCTTTCTTTTCAGATCCTTCGACAGGACGAATTCTTTTTCGCTGACGTCTTTCAGAAAATTCCTGACTTCTCGGTCCCTCATCAGAGGCGTGATGATGTTGAACAGGTTCTTGTTGTACGTCAGGTCGATCAGGCCCGAGTGGGAAAGGACGTTGGTGTAGATTTTCTTGGTGTAATCATAATGGGATACGACCCACCCTTTGTCAGTGCGGCAGACTATGCTCATATCGGGCCGGGAAAAACACGCGATGGCATTACAACAATCAAGTTTGTCCGAGAAGAGACAGGGCCCTCATAAAAGAGAATATCACATCATAAAATTAATAACACCTTCAAATAAAGAAGTCATGTAAATAATGAAACCTTCCGAGGCAAAAACATTCTAGAGACCGACTGGGATGTCCCAAGGCGGACAGTATTTATTTATTTTTTTATGCATACCTTTTGCAAAGAATATAAATCACGAGGTTATAAACAATTTAACAGATAAAAAAAATTGATAAAATAACAAGAATCACTACAACAACAATCATTTCACCGATTTTCGAGTGATAATTGTCCCGGAGGTGCCAGTTGCAAGGTTGGGTTTTAGAGGTTTCTGCCGCATTAACGGCAACAAAATAAGCTCTCTCTCAAAAAATAAAAACGCCATGCAAACAATGAAGCATTAGGAAAAATGCTATACAGCGCTAAAGATAAGATTGACATTCAGGAAAATAGCGGAGTGTATTCTAGTACATGTGAATGCGGAATATGAATAGAAAGATTCTTCGGCACTTCAGAGAAACAGGGCTTTTACTACAAAGTCAGGAATGGTCGACCTAGGTCTAAAGACGAGAGAGAGAGAGAGACGATAGATTCATTAGGCTCTACGAATCCACGCGAAGGGGGATAAGAAATTTGGTAGGACAAGTCCGATCTGTTTCGATTTACCCCAGGACTGTAAAAAGAAGGCTAGACACTCGGCTCACGGTCCTCTCCTTACCTCAGCTTAGAAAATGGCCAGGCTTCTATTAGGATGGGAATATGTGAATTGGGCATTGGAAGGTCGAGGCCGAGTTGTTTTTGAAGATGAGGTGATAGTTGGCTTCAAATCTTCAGATGGGCGTAAATTCATATGGAGACGCTCAGGAGAAAGGTACTGCTATCACGCAGTATGATTCCTCAGGTGGCATTCCTCGGTGGGTCATTGATGTTCTGGGATGGCATTTCCTTGGACCCCCTCGCCGAATTAGTTGTTGGGCGAGGAAGATCTCTAACTACAGACGTACTAACAGGACTCTATCGAAGAACATGTGCCATTTGCACCCCATGTCTGTGAGAGATTCTTGCTAATACAAGATAATTCCACACCCTATAGAGATTTTGTGGACGACTAACTGAAAGACATTGGTATTGAGTGCTTGGTGTAGTCAGCTCGAAGTCCGGATTTGAACCCAATCGAACACATTTGGGACAAACTTGACGAGCACGACGGGGATGACCAGGTCCTAACACCCTAGATGAGGTGGAAACGGCTGTTCTTGATGAACAAGAAAGAATTCTTCATCATTTTACTATAAATCTTTTCCAAGGAATGCAAAGGCGTTTAACAGATGCGATTCGTGCCAGAGGTAGAAATACTGGAGAAAAACAACAGGGAAAAAGAAAAAAGAGGCCCGTCCGTCCGGCGAGGTGATGGTGTGTGTGATTGTTTCGCCAGATTTTGAGAGGAAAGATTTTTTTTGCTTTTGGCCAGCTTAAAGAAGAAGGAGGTCGACTCTTCGATAAGGACTTCGAGAGACGCTTGAACCAACGCAATTTCTGGTTTTGACTTTCTTCTGTTGCTTATCCACTTCACGAAATTCAGGAAGATTTTTAGAGAGAAGAACCCAATTTAAAAAAAAGTTTAATATTCGTTCAAAATTTCCTTAATTTTTTTTTTTAATTTTCCACCTTGCCAATCCGTCAGCCACGGTTTTTTCCTTTCCTCCATCAATTTCTTCATCTTTGAAAAAGTAATTAAAAAAGAGATTACACCACTAAAAAGGATATTAACTGGAGTACGTTTTCTGAAATTCGCTGGTCTCTAGGTTTGGAAATAGTGTATTAAAATCACCATAGTAAATTTTCAACTTTGAAATAAAATTTTTTTCAAGTTCTCCCTACTAAAACACTTATTTCACGAAAGTTTACAAATTTAGTATTGATCACATCTTATTGGAAATTTAACGTAGTTTTCAGTGGTATCGACGGATTTGTCGAAAATCATTTAGTTTTGGAATTGTCATTGTTTATTTGAAGCAAGGTCGTGAAATCTTACAAAAGAAGAAAAAGTGGAATAACTCCGAAACTGCCGAGTTAAATTAGGACTTTTTGGTTCCATTTTGAGAGTAAAATCTATTGGTAAAGTCGAACACGCTGTATATTATTATTGTTGTACCAAGGTTTTTTATTTAATTTTTTAATCTTTTTCTAAACAATAAAAAAATAAATCAATTATTATTTGTAAATGAAATATTTTTTAATTTTAATTTCGTGTGTTGTTTTCTACAAGAAGTAGCTTAGAAGGGAATTCCAATTGAGACGGGGAAGATCTAGTCTTTGAAATTTAAGGGTAGTGAGTTTATTTTGCCCATCAGTGAATTTCCTGAAGAGTGAGATCGGAGGGTCGAGGGATGACGTTCTCGTTTTGCCAGGTGAGTCGGACTGGTGGGACATTCCCGTCACAGCTTAGACTCGAGTGACATCGCCTTCAGTCAAGTTCACTTCGGTCTGTCCGTTTGTCGTCATTTTTCTCCCCCTCGTATTTTAGAAAGGAAATACAAAACCGGATAAGAAAATTATAAAACCGTGGAAAGTGGAAACTGTTTGTTCCTCGGCCGGCTAATCGAATTATAGATAGGCGATAAGCTGATAGATGGGTTGGCTGCAGTGCAGAAGTACGACTATCCCTTAACTTTTAGTAGATTGTTTTGTAGTTTCGTGCCCGACATGTCCATCTCCTGAGGCCCGTCCTCGGACTTCGACAAGAGTGAAATTTCCTGGCTTGGAGGCGCATCGCGCTTGTCTTTAGTATTCTTCGGATCGGAGTCGGGGGAGAGGATGGAAGCCGTGCCGAGGCTCCCGATGGTCCACTTCGACCTGAAGACCCCCTTGGATCGACCTTTGGATTTCACCAAAGTGAAGCAGGTAAGCAGCCGGTTTCGGTCTCCGCCTTCTCGGTTACGCCTCCGCTTCAACTTCACGACTGTTTGCAGTACATCAGGGAGTTCTACAACGAAGACCCCGAGTCGTACAACTCTGAGATCAGGAACCTGGAGAGCCTCAGGGCGACCGCCGTCCGACCTGTCAAAGACGTGGCCGGCTGCTCCGTACTCAAAAAATACTTCTGCCAGCTCCACTTTCTCCAGAGCAGATTTCCGATGGGCAAAGAAGGAAAAGCGGCCATCAACTTTTCCTGGTGAGTTACCTTTCAGGTTGGATGTCGCAAGATATGAGGATCCTCCTTTGGTCCGACTGTCAATAACGTCATTCTACGTTTCAAATCAGCATATTCTGCGATATGTGTAGATGTAGATTAGATGTAATATTCGGGGTGTAATATACTGCGCCCTTTAAGAGCTGTTGTAGCCCCCGTACTCTGCCTAAAGCACACCGGTGAGCCCTATTTCATCAAGAAACTTGATTAATAGGCCTGATTTCAGTGGTTGAAGCTCTTCTATGGTCACATTATACATCCCAAAACATTTCCTCCTGCGGGCTAGTGTAGCTCCGCAGTTTGTTAGTAAATGTGTTGGTGTCTCTTCTGCCTCCTTGCAGAATCTGCATGTGCCATCTTCGATTGTTCCAATTTTCTTTAAGTGTCCATTTAATTTGCAGTGTCCTGTTAGGAATCCTGTTAGGATTCACAGTCTGGTCCTGCTTCCTTTGACACATTCTGTGATTTCTTTTCTACCAAAATTGGTCAGAAAATTCTTGGATTGTCTATGTCCAATGAGTGAATTCCATTGTTCCTTCATTTTCTTTTTGTCCTTCTGTCTAAGATATTTGTTAATAGTGTGGATTCCTATGCCACAGAAGGGTTCCACTGCGATATGTGCTGCTCTATCTCAATTATTTCTATTAATTTGTTAGTCAAAGCGTTTAATGAATTTTGTAGAATTCTGTGAGTAGAAGAATCCTTTAGAACAAGCGAATGGACATACACACCCCACCTCAATTATTTCTATTCTACGATTGTCAAGAGAGGCTTCTTCAATAATTTAAGCAAAATTTACTTTTTTTTAATGTATTATTTATGTAAGGTCTTGGTTGAGATGAAAAAGTTAGTGTCACAAACCCAGCCGAAGGTCGTAGGTTCGAATCCCGCTCGTGAACTATCTTTTTCATTTGAACCAAAACCTTACATGAAAAGATTAATCAATTAAAAGGAGAAATATAAAAATTAGTTTAGTCTAAAAATGAAAACCGTTAATTTATTGTTTACCTTACAAAAAAAGAATAAGTAATTTGGTCAATAGACCACTAAACATAATGTATTTTTTTAATGTGTTGATTACAATTTAATAGATTAGCAATTAAACCATCTATTGAGTCAACATCATTAAATTATATTAATTAATTGTACTTTTAATCTAAGGTGATGAAAAACCTTGTATCACAAGTGGGATTCGAACCTAAGACCTTCGGCTCAATACACTTCTGCTCTAACCACTTGAGCTACCACATCTCAACCTACACCCTTTTGAATTTTCTCTCTTTTTGCCATTTTTCAAATATCATGTAATCAGGATTCAATTTTCGGCGATTTATGAAGTGGCCACAGGGAGCTGCTAGTGAATTAAGTACTTCTTCAATTATTATATTAAATAATTACTTCAATCAATTATATATTAATACATTATTTATTAATTTAATTAATATATAAGTTTTATTTAAGGTCTTGGTTGAGATGAAAAAGTTAGTGTTACGAGCGGGATTCGAACCCATGCCCATCGGCTCAATACGCCGCTGGCTCTAACCACTTGAGCTATTGTGATTTCAATCCACTCAGACACCAACTACTCATCTCAACCTTTCAATGACCCAGTGTTCGAATCCTGCTTGTGACACTTGTTTTTTTATCTCTGCCAAGACCTTAAATAAAAATTATATTAATTATAAAAAATTAAATATTAATTAAACTAATAAATAATGTATTAATATATAATTGATTGAAGTAATTAATACTGTTAATAATGACTACTAAACACATATGGATTAATATAATAATTACAGAAGTACTCAATTCACAACAGATCCCACGGCCACTTCACAAATTGAATCCTGATTATATGATATTTGAAAATATGGCAAAAAGAGAGAAAATTCAAAAGGGTGTAGGTTGAGATGTGGTTAGAGCAGAAGGTCATAGGTTCGAATCCCACTTGTGACACAAGGTTTTTCATCTCAACCAAGACCTTAGATAAAAAGTAAAATTAATTAAAATAATTAATATGGTCAATTATAACTCATAAATACATATACATATAGTAAATACATGTATGAATTAATGTAATAATTACAGATTTACTAGCAGCTCCCTGTGGCCACTTTATAATTTGCTGAAAATCAAATCCTAATTACACGATATTTGAAAATATGGTAAAAAGAGGATGGTTAGGGAGCTGGCAAGGCTATGGAGATTCATTTACAACCTGAAGCTGGCCAGTTTTTTAAAAATAAAATTAGCACAATAGTTCTACTCAGGTCGAGGTGCAGAAGGCCTTGTGGCTGCCTCTTTTGTACCTCCTTATCTATACCCATTAATTTTCAGAAATACCACATAGTAATAATACAGTTAGTGTAATTTTATATTAAAATCACGGATAAGCCAGTTTGAAAAACAAAACAAAAACTGCCTTCATTGTGCATGTGTGTGTATGTATATATTTGTTTGTGCAAATGAGTCAATCGATATATCGAGTACACCACGGTCCTCAGTGTGCATGGGACTGATATGACTATTGTCATTAACCTCAATTAAAAAGAAAAACGAAATAAATAAAAAGACATTTTAAAAAGGATAAAAATATGAATATTTATTCACAAAATGGAAATATATGGTTTCAAGCATAATGAAATAAGATCTGCCCATCCCTAGGGCCTTTTTTCCATTTCCTACTTTTTCATTGAGAATGGAGGTGGATTCAACTTTCTGCACAAGTTAGTTTAAATACGTTTTATTGTTCTTGCCTCTGCTTTAAACATTTAAAAATATTTAATGCAAATTTTAATGAAGCCATACAACTTGCGTATGGTCTTAGAGTCACAAGGTAGGTTGGCTTCCCAGAAGCCACAATATTCACGGATATTATTGAGCAGATGAGTTCCAATATTTTCTCCTCTGAGATGGCAACCTTTGACTAACGTTTTACGCAATTTATTTTCAACCACCTAACCTAGAAACAAAATTGCCAAAATACTTTTGTGTACAATTACTTGCTGTTTTTTTTGCACACAATTTATTTATAAATTTGAATACAGGAAAGACGCCTATGGACATTCTGTAACTACGGCTGCAGACATAAAAGTGGAAATGGTCGCAGTATTGTACAACATAGGAGCACTTCACTCTCAGCTGGGTTCGGCTGATGATCGGACATCAGCAGAAGGCCTGAAATTGGCATGTACTCACTTCCAATGTGCAGCCTGGGCATTTCAAGTTCGTCCAAAACCTTTTCTAGTCCCATATGAAAATTTGACATGTATAAATTAAATTAAATTGTATTTTTAGCATTTGAAAGACAGTTATCCTCAACCGGCTGGTATGGAACTGTCACCTGACGTTATGCAGTTTAAGTACCATCTGTGCCTCGCTCAAGCCCAGGAGTGCATTCTTGAGAAGAGTATGACAGATAATAGAAAAGCTACTATAAATGGTTGGTAATATTTTGTGCATTTATTTTTGTTTGTAATTTGTTTTGTTTATTTTAGCAAAAGTTGCCACGCAGATAGTCGATTATTACAATTTGGCTTTAAATGCACTTCTCCAGCCCCCTGCTCAGGACGATCCAGCCATCCAGGACATAGTGGGCTCCAAAGTCTTTAAAAATTGGAAAAAATATATGAAGTTCAAAGTGGCGTATTACTGCAGCATATCACTCTTATATCAAGGAATGCAGTCCGAAGAACAGCAGAAGATGGGGGAGCGGGTCGCCTATTTTCAGGGTGCTCTCAACAAGCTTATGGAAGCTATTAAGCTCTCTAAAGGGCTTGATCAATCTGAGGCTGTCATGGAGACACTCGTCTTTACTAGAGATGTCGTCGAAGGAAAGAGAAAAGCAGCTAAAAATGAAAATGAGTTTATATACCATGAGGAAGTTCCTGAGTTGGACTCCTTGCCGAATGTGAAAGGAGCGTCTTTAGTTAAAGGAATTCCATTCAGTGTTAATGATCAGGAAATTTCTGGTACAGATATCTTTTCTAGGCTGGTACCTATGAGAGCCCATGAAGCTTCTTCTCTTTATAGGTATGCACATTACATTATGCTCGTAATTTCATGATTATCGGATGCCTGTTTGCAATTTCAGCGAAGAGAAAGCTAAATTATTAAGAAGAATCAGTTCGCTCATAGATTCTAAAGATGAAGAAATTGTCAGTTTTATGTCTTGCCTGCAGCTGGAGTATTTGAAATCACATTTGGAGTCTACTAATCTCCCTCAAGTAATTATTTTTTGGTATCTAAAATTGTTATATTATTAATCGTTTATAATTAATTAGGAAGTGGTGGATCGTTGTGCTGCTCTCAGTGCCATGCCTGACGCCATTCCAAACTTAATGGCAGCCATGGACAAGCTGAACGAAGCTTATCAACACATTGATGGAATGCTTAAAGAAATAAATGAGCTGATTAAGGTAAAGTATTGAAATCATACATCCTAACAAAACATATACAGTTAAATCCCAATGTATCGTATCCTCAAGGGGACGAAGGATAAGTACGATAAATCAAAATTAATTAAGGTTTTTAGTTGAGATGAAAAAAAGTTAATGGCACGAGCGGGATTCGAACCCACGATCTTCGGCTAGATATGCCGCTGCTCTACCACTTGAGCTATCGTGACCTCGATCCACTCAGACATCAACTTCCTATCTCAACCCCACCTTATGAGTTTTCCCTTCTTTTTGCCATTTTTCAATGGTAGAGCAGTGGCGTATCTAGATGAAGATCATGGGTTCGAATCCCGCTCGTGCCATTAACTTTTTTTCATCTCAACTAAAAACCTTAATTAATTGTACTGTATTAATTGGTCAAGCGGACCACGAAATTAGTGAATTTAATAAATCAAAATGTTCACTATATTGAGATTATGGTATATCGTGGGTAAAAAATGAAAAATACGCTATATAGAAAGTTTTGATTTTTTTAGTGTATTACAATATATGTATGTTTGTAAATAAAGTTTTTACTTTTTTATATGTATGTATATGTTATTTTTATAAATTATACAATGATCAATATAAAAAATGATGTACACGATTGATCATTTTATTGACTATTTAGGACTGATATTCGGAATTTCTTCTTTTGTTCTTTATCTTCCTCAACAACCACTTAGTCTGTTTCAGTTAAAATTTTATCGTCATTAAGCATTACAACAATTGCAACGTCATCATCAGAATTAACGAAGTCCTGAAAAGTGGCGGGATTTTCTCCATTTTATGATAATAGATGTCATACGATCGGGCCTTGAATTCATTTTCCGGTTCCACAGCGGATATAACTTCCTTTAGGAAACCACAAGTTCTTAAACAATTTTTTATATGTGGGGCTCACTGGAGAGATGTGATAGGTGTTGCAACATGAAATGATCTTTCATCGCCTGATACGACTTAATAAAAAAGAGAAAATATTGGTTACACCATTATAATGTTAACAATATTTTCAGCTTCAACTTTTCTGAAATTTGTGAAGAATTTTTTTTTTAATTTTTACATTGTGTTTGAATAATGTTTTAATAATATTGGTTTTCTTTACTATCCTTCCAACCTACTAAAAGTAATTTGTAACAAATGGTGCGTCGAAAAGTGACTCGCCTATTTTTTGGTACAAGACTAACAAAATAAAATGTGCTGAGTCATAATTACACGCACCAACGTTGATTTCCCTATGGTGTGCTGAAAATTGACTCACTTTCTTTTACTAACGTATTAATCAAAGGAAATAAGCCTCGAGTCAAATTTAAACGCACCCGTGTTGATTTTCCAATGGTGCGTCAAAAAATAACATATAACAACGTATATGTTAATAATAAAACTTGAGACAACATAACATTGGGGTCGTAACTCAAGAGTTCAGAGAAAGGACTTTCAGACTTCTTTGCTGCAAATATATTAGGTTCTTGCTTCATACCATTCACTTACTTGATTTTTCCCGAATATTCAACAACTTTTTCCCCATAGCACGGAAATATGCTAATTTTAACTTATATTTAAGTGGTTGACCCCTCTAGAAGTGATCATCTTTCAGAATTATGAAATAAGACAGCTCACTATTGTGATAAGATGTTATTAATACTTGTTTTAGGAAGAAGAAATAGCAGAAAAAGAATACCAAAGTATAATGGGTTCTAGACCACCTTCGATAGTTGCTACTGATTTGACCAGAGAAGCAAACAAATATACAGAGGCACATAAAAAGGCAGCTGAATCAAACGATACTTTACACAAAGCAATGACACAGCACATTGAAAATATGCGTGTCCTTCAAAAACCTTTGTCTGAAATCCAATCTGGACTTCCTAATTTATCACCTTTGAATTGTAAGTGGTTTAATAAAGAATTGTCGAACAATTTAAAAAATTTGTAATATTTTCAGTGCACGAAGATCAGAGTTTAAATGAAGTCATTACATTGGTAAATAAAGTGAACGAAATGAGAAAACAACGTGCTATGCTGGCAAGCCAGTTACGTGAATCGGTATGTAGTGATGACATAACTGGGCAATTAATAACAAGGGCAGATGAAAAATTGGAAGACATCTTTAGTAAAGAAATGCAGAAACATGATAAATATGTATGGTTTTATTTTTTTTGTGATCATTTATTTTTCCAACGAATTTTCTGTTGCAATGATTTTATCTTGTAGGTTATGTTTATTGAGCAGAATCTTGCCGCTCAGGAAAATATCATTCGAGCTTTAACCGATGCTTATGCTAAATATGCACCAACAAGAAAAGCGACGACAGAAATAATGCGACAGAGGGATACCATGTTGACAGCATTAATATCCTCTTATGATGCTTATGAAGATCTCCTTGCTAAATCCAGCAAAGGTCAAGATTTTTATCGAAAGCTGGAAACAAATCTGACAAAACTGCTTCAGAGGGTTAAAGGGACCTGCAAGGTGCAGCAGGAAGAGAGAGATTCAATTTTGGAACAGAACAGCAAAAAGGCATTGAAAATTGCTGAGGCCGCTACCGCATCGACTGAATCAGTTTCAAAATTGAAGTATTACCTTCAGAATAAAGAGACCACCATCCCTACATCACCGTATTACTCTCCGATTACAACAAGTGCTGAATCGAATAAAACCTGGCTTCCTGGTGTCCGACCGGCCCCTGTCGGTTCTGAAGGGAATTCAAGTTTATCCAAACCAGCTGACCCAACACAAGTTGCATCAGTTTATAACTCACAGTCGTATTACAATTCTTATCCACCCAGTGCCTTGTACCAGTATCATATGGATGCCAGCAAGGCTTATGCAAATCCAAGTGCTTATTATTATCAAACATTATATGCGCAAAATTCAGCTCTAAAATCATTGCAATACCCTTCAATGCCAGACGGTTCACAGAGCCAGGAAGAACCGTATGACAGCTATAAACAAAACACTTATAACTATAATGTTCCAGTTAACACTGCAGCATACAGAACAGATCATGATTATTCAGCACCTGCCCCGTCGTCGGGCTACTCGTCGTCTTCTTCGTCTACCCCAAAACACATTCCACCTCAACAAACACCGCAAGAACAATATTCTCAGCAGGGTTATCCCACAACTGCAGTGGTCCAACAGACATTCCCGGCAGATGCCCCTGCTACATCCCAACCAAATTATTCACTCGGCATTTCTCAGCAAGCCTCTCCTGTTACTACCACGTCTACAACACATCAGCAACCTTATACGAGCGGAGTGTCACAGCCTTACCCTGGCCAAGTTACTTCTCCTGTCATGCCCCAGCAGAATTATTCAGATGGCACTTCACAACAGACCTACACAGGGCAGGTTTCGTCATCTCTTCAGCTGCAAAATTACTCGGGCAGCCCCTCACAACCTGCCTATCAAGGCACAACCGGCACTTTTACTGCAGGTGCAATGCAACAAACATACACAGTTCCATCATCACCTGCTATCCCTCCCCAGAATTACTCCATTGGTACATCACAGCAGAATTACTCAGTGCCTGTTACATCCCCCTCTACACAGCAAAATTACTCTGTTGGCGTATCCCAGTCAACTTACACAGTACCCGTTACATCTACTGTACAACAGAATTACACTGTTGGCGGGTCACAGGCCTACCAAGGGATAGTATCCGCTACCCCTCAGCAAAATTACTCCCCTTTAAATTACTCTCAGAGCCAGTCATTACCATCTCAGAATTATATGACTGCTACCCAAAACCAAACAGTATCGTCCACATCACAACCTTCGGCATCACCTATACATTCCAACTTAGACTCTGCAACAAACAAATATACCCAGCCTTACAATCCGACCACAAATGCTTATACTCCTACAACCAGCACGGATGGTCAAAACTACAGTGCAAATTATTCTCATACGGCTTCTGCTAACTTCAGCACTACCTATCCTTCTTATACTGGTTACAACAATTATTTTACTTCTACTGCGGGAGCACCACAAGAATGGTCACACCAAATTGATGAACAACAGAAATCACAACAGTCGGGGTATTACAAAGCTTATGAAACGAGCAGTACTGGCCAACCATATTCAGGTTACAGCTATACAAACACTTACCCACAGGCTCAGTTTCAGCAAACTCCAGGAACTGATACGTCATATTATTCTCGAGCTGGAAATAAAAATACAGTCGATTCAACAGTTTCCCCGACTTATGGGTCGTCGAATGAAGCAAACTCTGAATTATCTCAGGCGAACATGGCAAACTATTACTCACAACCTTATGGATATCAATTTTATGACAACTCGTGGACATCAGATTTTCAGAATCAAAATGCAAATCCAAGTGTCGCAAGACAAAACAGTGTGACTTACATGCAGTCAAACGTGAAGAATAATCTCACTGTGACTTACAGTCAACAGCAGCATTCATCCAACAAAGAAGCGTCAAATGTTGATCTTCTAGCTGGATTGGACTTCAACGTGTCTGATGCTCCTCTTCTGCCGACACAACCGGTTGACAAAAATGCAGTGGACAAGACCCAGGATCAGCTTAAAAATTTATCCATAAGTGGAAACTCGCAGACACAATCTTCAAAATTGGCAGTCAATAACAATAATCTAAAGGTATAACAATTATCAGTTCTCAGTCTTTTGACTCCAATGTGAAATTTTAAACAATATTAAAATTTATTTAAGGGCATTATATTTATTTATTCAAACCAATCCCTGTTTAACTAAAATTGCCCAGTCCTTCCATGAGTAAACAGTTTTCTGAAAGTTGTTTTTTTTTCTCAAAAATTCAGAGTTTCGACCAGTCGCCTGCCAAGCCAGAACTGGTCGAAAGGCCTTCACCGAGCAAAACACCTATCAAAGATCCATTTTCTGATCCTGATTCTCTGGCACAGTTCGTGCAAGAAGTAGAAAAGTTTGAGAAGTTTGTAGAGGGTTTGAACAGTAAAACGTTAAACGGACCGACAGCCCTCGATTTAAAATGGAACGAACTTCAAGATATTCAGGTAGATACATGTTTTATTTTAATTATGTTAACATTGCAATTTGGCTCCATTCAAGCATGCATCTGCATCATCTCACTTTAACATAACAAAATCTAATTCCTAGTGTCATTTATGAATGTTTTGTGTACTTGCTTAAATAAGGACTGTACTAAATCTTCAGTTAGTTAAGATTTTGTTGATAGGGTCTGATTTATTAATCTATTAAGGAATATCTTAAATTTTATGGAAATCATTCAAAAACTGCATACCTAATTTTTTTAAAATATTAATTTTATGTAATTATGTTAGGTTCGAACCCAGGACCGATGTTCATTGTCAGATGTCAATGTCTAAACTGTTGCAGTTACTCATGCCCCCCCCCCCCACAACTGTTTGTAATATGATAAAAAATAAACAACCCTAATGAGGCATTGAGTGTAGTAGTATTTACATATTTATGATTGTGTGCATGATCATCCATAAAAAATTATGCATATCTTGTAAGCAGTAGATGTGTATCATTTTGTTTCAAATGACAACAAGTCAATTCCAGCCTTTTAAGATTGTGTGAATTTTAATTTCTTATTAAAGCATTAATTAAATTAATTTCTTATTCTAACAAACATTACTACATGATTTTTAAGATGATTGCATTATCATTATTTGTAGATTTGGGTCCTATATTAATTTTTATATAAAGAAGTTTGTTACCTCAACCTTTTTTTTGTATAAAAATTACCTACAAAATAACCATATTCTGGAAAGTCAACTTTTTTAAAATCAATTGATTATTCTTTTTATGAAAGGTCTTTGGTTGAGATGAAAAAGTTATTGGCACGAGCAGGTTTTGAACCTACGACCTTCGGCTCAATATGATGCTCTTCTCAACTCCACATTTCCACCTCCAACCTTTTCAATTTTCCCCCTTTTTGTCATTTTTTAATTATTTTTTTTACCGTTTACATTTTATGTTGATATTTCAAATATTTTATTATGCAAACATAAAAAAATTTTTTTTTTTTAAATCCATCCCTAACCTTTACTTTGTGCATTAGGAAAAAGATTCACATAAGTTAAGCATATCAGTTGCAAGATGTTACCCTATGAAGAATAGATTTGCTGATATTTTACCATTCGACAGTACCAGAGTTGAGCTCCCATCTACCAAAGATGACTACATCAATGCGTCTTTTATTAAGGTTTGTGTTTACATAAAATTTATATATATTTGTACTGTAAATATTATGAATTACAGGAATTAGGTTTAGGATGTCCAAATTTTATTATGACACAGTCACCTTTACCATCCACTTATGCCGATTTTTGGTGTATGGTGTTGGAACAGCACGTCGAACTTGTGGTTTGCCTCGTCGCCGAATGCCAGGTAGGTTTATCATTGGATTAAATTTTAAATTGTTATAAGGCGTGAGGTGATGAACCTGGGTCTTATCGCCTCCGATCATACCAGACAGAGACATTTCAGTATTTCGCCGAATCGAAAAGCAAGCAAAATGCTGTAATGGCTCTGTTAGACCAAACCTGTGGGAATAAGAACGCAAATTTAAATTATAATTGTATTAAACATAGATGAACGGTGAAATTTACTGGCCTGTCAGCAAAACCGAATACTTAATGTTTGGTAAAGTGAAAGTAACTCTACAGAGTAGTAATGTCCGAACTCATTGGGTAGAAAGAATATTTTCTGTGTCAGATGGAAAAACCTCAATAGTTGTTATGCATTTAGAATTCACGGCCTGGCCTCATAAGTAAGTGTTCAATCTAGATATAAATTTTTTTTTGCCAAATTGTTAAAACTTATTTTTTCCCAGTTGGCTTCCCGAATCGCCAGGGCCTCTCCTCAACCTCGTGAACGAGGCCCATAGTGTCTGGTCGCAGCAGCGCGGCTGTGGACCGATTGTGGTACACTGTCAGTCCGGCGTGGGACGTTCTGGAGTTTTCGTTTTTATCGCATTGTGTATGTCGGAACTCAGACTTCCACCGATCCATCTACCTGATACTATTGGCTTGATAGCAAAAATTGGAAAACTGCGGAAAAACCCGTTGAGAGATAGGCAACACCTACAGTTGGCCTACCAATGCCTTTTATACTATGCTCAAGATTTATTAATGAAGAGTAAGCAGATGCTTATATCGTTAATTTTATGACTTAAACACTCTATCCACAATTTGAAAATGTTTTAGGAGGAATTTTGGCGAGCAGATCAACATTTGAAGAAAAACGTACAAAACCAAAATCTCATACTAGACACCCTTCTGAAGATTTCTTGCTGAACACAATAAAAGATCAGGAAAGGCGGCAATCAGGTATCAATTAATTAATTACTCATGACACCAAAATATTTAATACAGTGGATGATTAATAAAAAAAGTTTTTATTCTGTCATAAATATTCCTATATGAGAAGGACATTTTATCGAACTACCCGATTAACTTATGATTGTTATTGGTAATACACTGCTGGAGAAAATAAATGCACCACCCTTAAATTTTAATCTATTTAGGTTTCTTCAATTTTGCATACCATAGATAGGTTTGCTTGTCAAAATTAAGACATTTAAAAAGAAAATGTTTCTTGCCTAATTCTAAAAAGAGAATTATTGAGTAAAGAAAAAATAATCTTTTTTGTCTCCTTTCATGAGTACTTCCACCTCTGGCACGAATCACGCCCGTTAAATGCTTTTGCATTCCTCGGAAAAGATTGTTGATATAATCCTGAAGAATTCTTTCCCGTTTATCAAGAACAGCCTTTTCCAACTCTTTTAAGTCATTAAGACCTGGGCTTCGCTGTCGTACTTATCGCTCAAGTTGGTCCCAGAAGTGTTCGATTGGGTTCAAATCCGGATTTCGAGCTGGCCACACCAAGCACTCAATTCCAACCTTATTCAAGTAGTCAGCCACAATATGTGCTCTAAGGGTCTATGGGGCCTGGCATTGTTAAAAATCTCTCACCGATGTGGGGGAAACTATCGGGTTGTCCGGAAAATAATGCAGGATTTTAAGTTTTCATTAAAAAAAATCTATATAAAATATTCTGTTTACGTTTACAGGATTACTCATTTGTATGAATGTCANCTTTTTTTTTGTTTAATACCAAAATCCTGCATTATTTTCCGGACAACCCAATACATGTTTTGTAGGTACCTCTGTGAAGTTAGAGAATTCCTCGCCCAACAACTAATTCGGTGCAGGCGTCAAAAGAAATGCCACCCTAGAACATCATGACCCACCATGGAATGCCTGAGGAGCCATAGCTATAGGGAGTGTCTCCAAATGAATTTAAGCCCATCTGAAGATTTGAGGCCAACTCTCACCTCATCTGTAAAGACAAATCCTCCCCATTTTCTGAGCTGTGGTAAGAAGAGGTCCACGAGCTGAGTGCTGGGCCCTGAAGTTATTTTCATTGAGCCCTCTTCTTACACTCCTGGAGGACATCGAAACATTTTGGACTTGTTTTAACAGATTTCTTTTCTCATTTCCCGCAATGCTGTGGTTTTGTAGAGCCTGGTGATGGATGAATCTTTCATCTCTCTCGTCTTTAGACCTTGGTTGACCCTGTCCTGGCCGTTTAATTTGACGCTTTTCTCTGAATTGCTGAACAACCCTTCCATCTAATAATGTTATGGCCCTGACCCTGTCATATTAACTTATTTTACTACGATAGCTCCTAATTACCTAATGTAGAAAAGTAATGGATTTAATTTCATTTAACTTGTTTTTTTGTTTTTTTCAGATGCAAGCAGTACAAGTAGTAGCTCGAAGCCAAATGAAAATGACCCTTTAAGTCAGATTGATCCATTATGGCCCATCAAGCGATACTCATAACTTTATTTCAATCAAAAGGATTTCCATTCAAAAACTGCATTATTCCTGGGCTCTTGCGGTACTGTGAGTACATTTGGAGAGTGTAATCTCACAGTATTTAAATTTTGAGATAAAGGGGAAACTCAAATATTGAACTGATTAAAAGAAAAAAACATTGCTAATTTTTTTAAAAGATAAATATTTTTAACTTATTCGATAAGAAGCGCTTTGTAAATACCCGGAGTAAGTTATTATCAAGGGCAATTTATTTTTGTATTGAGTAATTATTTAATGGGGGGGGGGAGAAAATATTTGTGACTGAAAAAGGCAATTTTGTTTTTTTAGCCTTAAATGGAAAGTTTTATCCAAAGTGTCAAAGTCTACATAATAAAAATAAATTAAACATCCTTATTTTAGTGTATTGCTTTTATTTTAGCTTAATTCCTATGCAGTAATATCAATTTATCAAGAAGTAAACTGTACTATACAAATGTTATTGTTAAAAATATTAAGTATTATTTAATCCTTAATTTGTAAAACTTTTAAGTAAATGTGATATTACCATACAGTTTTGAAATAAAATGAAAAAATACAAACTTTTTTTTGAACTGTTTTACCTGCCGCTTTGGACTACTGTACCAATGATTATCAAGAACTTCACATGTGTGGACATTAAACTAACACTTTATTAGACAATTAGAACATGGATGATTAGAAGGATTTGAACATCTCAACAACTTCCAACATTCAAAGCCCTCAGAACCATTCAGAAACAAAATTAATTATAATTACAATTAATTAAGGTTTTTAGTTGAGATAAAAAAGTCAATGGCACGAGCGGGATTCGAACCCACGATCTTCGGCCGCTGCTCTACCACCTGAGCTATCGTGACCTTGATCCACGAGAATTCTTCGTGGCCATTTCATTTGTTGCCGAGAATCAAATAGATTAAAAGACATTTGAAAAATGGCAAAAAGGAGGGAAAATTCAAAAAGACGGGGTTGAGATGGGAAGTTGGTGTCCGAGTGGATCGAATTTGTAAGATATTAATTGGTCAAGCGGACCACGAAATTAGGTGAAATTAATAATAATATCGACTTCTTTAACCACTCTCTCTTGACCAGTTCCGAAATTCTTTAAAACCTACCTCTACTCGCCTTTCCTTACATTCCATTATTATATAGTATATATTCCACATATTTCTAGGTGCATTCATTATTTTATGGTACTAATGTGATACTGATTTATTTGGAATTGACAGTGAAGACACTCCATAAAGTGCTGACCTTAGTGTCTATACATCAGGGAGTTCACCTTTTATGTTGTGGCTGCCTCTAGTCTCTTAAGCCAGACGCCCAGGAGATCATCACTTCCCTACCAAGGGGGGCTATCAACAGCTAGTCGTATCAGCCCCGAATTCATGCAAACTTTAATCTAGCCTAATGCTAATGAAATAAGACAAGTCACTCGCACAAATAAATACATTCATACATTTGCACTCATTCTGATTAGTTGGTGGAGTAGTGGTTATTACTGCGACCTACACATAGTATTAATAGTCCAACCAAAATTCAGAGGAGCAATAGTGACAAAGTTTCACCATCACCCTTACCACTTGGGATCTGCAGTGACATTGGAGAAAAATTAATAATTACAAAAATACCATAGAATGAATAAATAAAAATAAAAAACTATAACAATGAGTACTGAAAATGAAAGTTTTTTTTATTTTGCAGCAGCAGTCATTGTGTTCTCCACAGACCTGCTTTAGCTCTGAAACATCATATCAAGACGTGGCCGTTGAAATTAAGACTTTTCACAATGCTATGCGACAATATGAGAAGCCTTCATCATTACCGCTTCACCATACAGAAGTGAGGTGGCTTTCTTGTGGGATAGCACTTTCAAGATTACAGGAATTACGTTCTGATGCCTTATCTCTGTTGATAGACCGCAATTTCAAATTGGCCAACTATTTCAATGATGTGAAATGGGAATGTATTTTGTCGTATTTATCAGATATTTTCATTAAAATGAATGATATGAGTCTTTCTTTGCACGGGAAGAGTATCACAACTTTCAACGCTAATGACAAAGACTCAAAAGAAAAATCCCGTTTTGGGTTGAATCTGTTGAGAAGGAAGCGGTGGAGTGTTTTCCTGTTTTAAATGATTTGTATGAGAAAACAAAGTGCAACTTTCCGAGTTTGAAGATATCCTTTGAACGCTACTTCTGAAAAGCTCGAGAATCAATGCTGCAAGACCATGAACGGGTGGACCAGTCTATCTTCAAGTGAATACAAATGTTTGATAGACATTTCAGATTCCACCTTGAATTCTACTGTTGAGTCAGATACCCCCAATTTTTGACTCCGTACGGAATACAAAAAATTTCAACTGCTCGTTGATAAAGCAAAACTTGTTTTGTTTCATTTGCCACAACTTGCCTATGCGAATCTGAATTTTTTATCTATTCAGCCATCATAGCTAAATACTGAAGCTGCGTCGATACTGAACCCGACATTTGTCTCCAGCTATCAAAAATTAAACCCAACATATCCAAATTGTACAGACTAAAGCAATCTCACTTCACTTTTTTCATTAATCATTAACGTTCAAATTATTACTTTTGAATTTGGCTCGAGTTTACCTACATTTGGATAAACGTGTCCAAATTGCATTTTGTCTTCTGGATGTTGTAAATAAAGTTAAGTAAATCTAATGTTTGTTTTCATAGTGATATCTCTCTCCATCATCTAATTACCATTAGGAATGAACTGGCTAATTTATAACTATAACATATAAGTTCATAATTTTAAATACTTAAATGCGAGAGGCCCATCTTAGAGTTGATTGTTAATGGCAATTTTGATTTTGTATTATTATATCATTACTTCAATTATTATTTTCTATAAATGTTATAAATGTACTTTTCTATTCGTTGTATATTTTCTATTTTTTTAAATATATTTTTTACGAGGGTTGAGGTTATTTGAACCGTCCGGGTGGCGATGTTAAAAAAAGCCCATTGTAAGTATGTCGGGTTCGAATGCAGGGCCGCTGGATTCGAACCCGGGACCTTTACTATTTTAACTATGTAACATAGCATTTAACATTATCCTGCAAATAATTTACAAATTCTTCGTTTAACTCTGGAGGCAGTACAGGAAATACCATCAGACTCGTAGGAAGTGGGAAATTTGAAAAAATCCGATAAAGAAAATGTTGAAAACATGGTATGACAATTGACCTCCCAATCCCAGTAGGATTTGTCGATGTCAACGTCAATAAAATTTTATTGAAAATATGACAATTTTAACAGTTTCGTAGAGGCTAAACGAATTGTCCGTTTGGCGATCAAATGATTTTATTTACATTTTTGCCACTACTTTTAAGTAACATGCGTCAATTAACGAATCTCAGAGTGAAAAGGTGAAAATACAATTTATTTCAACAAAATAATTTTATTTTCGAACCCCAAAACATTTATTTTCCTTAGGTTAAAACACAAATTCTAGGATCTACGAGTGTAAAACAAATACGTGTCGGACTACTACATTTACATACACACGTATGCATTAATGTAGCAGACTTGCGTCGACTTGGTAGATCCGCGTTTTCTTCTCTTCTTTTGTGTACCTCTTCATTCCCAACTCGGGCTGGAAGATTTTTTATTTTATTTTAGGGGATTTTCTTCTTGGGGGGAAATTTTTTAACAGCTGGATTAAAAGCTAACAATACGACATTAAATTTTTTTATCGTTGGTTTTTTTCTGTCTATTATTAGATTTTCAAAGAAATTTTCCAGTGTCTTCCCTCTTTCTCCCTAACGTAGGAGATTCGAAATGGCAAGAAAATTCTAGATTATCAACGATGCATTTCAGCAAATTCGACTCGTCGTTACGGATTAGGAGAAAGGTTCGTCTTCGTCAATTAATCACCGATAAACTCTTTTAACACTTTTTTCTTAATATAAGTTATGTAAGGCTGTCGTTCGGATTATTCTTAATTTCAATCTCTTCATTTCCCTTTTTCCCCTGGAACAGTGAATAACTCAATCTCCCTAAAAAACTATAGTCCAAATTTTAAAAAAAGCCTAAAACTATCAGATTAAGCTAGTACGAGTAATCTAAAAAATTCCAATTACGCTCTTACCATGTGTCAAATGTTCTGAAATTCTTTCTTGTAGTCTCTCCTGTGAATTAAAAAAAACTGTGGTTATAATTTAACCGCACAATAATTTGTTCCTCTTGGATTTCTTCCTAAGGATTTAAAACAGTTGCTGGACGGTAAGATCATATTTGTTTATTATTTCATAACAGCTGGGGCTCTAATAAGTTTTCATTTCTCTGAACAAAATCTAGGGACGAGAATATCTCAAGGAATTAATTATATTGGCTTAATTGAATATGTACGTGCTAGTAGGTCTCAATTTGTTAAAAATGAAAATAATAACGTAAATTGGACACGTGAAAATTGCAAATGGGTTTTATTCTTTGTTTATCCCGCCGGATAGATCTTGGGATGACAGGCATAACAACGCTAGAATAGTTTTAATCGTTGAAAATGGTATTTTTACCCCAGGTTCCTAGTATCTCGGCATTAGTTTGTGTTGTACCATTCAGACGCAAGAACGCACATTGGATGATGACGACGACGATGATAATGGATAATAAGAAGTGGGAATTTTGGGCTGTATTGAATATGCTCATGTTATTTAGATGTTCACTCAGACCAGCAAATAGCCCTATCACTCTTCTGGGTTTAACCCTTTCAAATTAAGCAGTGAGTTTGCCAGTATTGGTGAGGCTTGTTTTAACATAAGCTTACCCTAGTAGATGAATGGGGGTTTGGTCTGCGAGTTGGTGAACTCATGTTGAGTGAACTGGCACACGGGCACTACTGGGTCTGTCTTCACTCGCGGGTGTGCCAGTTCATGAGTTCACCAACTTGCAGACCAAACCCCATCATCTACTATAACACAGCCAATCAGGCTACGTTACTTGAAAGGTATGTACACAAAACCCGCGAGTGAAGAGAGACCCAGTAGTGCCCGTGTGCCAGTTCAACATAAGCTTACCCTGTCTAACAAAAAAGGTTAAAAACCTAGGAGTAGTCTTTGACCAAAACCTTTCCTGGCATTCTCACATTTCCCAAATTTCCCGCCATTCCATAGCCTCCCTCAGCCTATTTCGTAGGTCCTGGCTTCTCTTACCTTTCTCCACCCGCAAACTCCTTGTATCTTCCCTTCTTCGATTATAGCTGTTTGGCATACGGTGGTCTCTCGGAGGGGGAGAACGCGCGATTGAAGCGTATTATGAATTGTTGCGTAAGATTTGTGTACGGCACCCCACGGGGATCCCGGGTGTCGGGGTTGTATTCCCAACTTTCCTGGCTATTCCCCTCCTTCCGTGCACAGTATTTCCTAGGTTGCTTTCTTTTCCAGTCCATCCACACTCGTCGTCCTCCTTACATCATCCAATCCCTCCAATTCAACTCCTCACATCTCACTCGTAAGACCCGCTCATCCCCAATCGACCTTATCCTTCCGCAACATACAACCCATACCTTCGAAAGATCCTTTCTGATCCGAGCCCCTAAACTCTGGAACTCCCTTCCCCTTTCTATTCGTCACGCTGCCTCCTTTTCCTCCTTTAAATCCCACCTGTATAATCACCTCCTCTCCCTCCAAGCAGAGACCTCACGTTAACATTTGTTATTTTTGTTTAATATTCTCGTAATTTTTTCTTCTGTCCTGCCTTATTGGTATACATTGTGCCAAGATTTCTATCTTTTTTTTTACTTTTAACTTCATAGAAGGAACTTCCTTTATTTATTTCATGTAAATTATTCTTAGGGGATACCAGTCCCAGAATAAAGTTATTTTTCTTCTTCTTCTTAACACCCCTAGAGTTTATCTACTTCTTATTTTGCCTTTTTGGATCCATTCTGCAAGGGAGATTCTGTGTTTGTTTTCGTTATGGCAAGAATAGGTTCAGGGCTTATTGCAGATCCTCTTCCGTGGGTTTGCCTTTTCGTTCCCCAAGTTTCTGATACCCAAGATCTCATCAGGTTATTGTGTTACCCCTGGTTTTGGAAATTTTGGAAGCATTCACTTACTGATTTTTGATTTGATTTTTTTACACGTTAATGCTTTAATAGCTGCTTGGATATCAGTTCATGATGATTTTTTCCTCTTCTAAAATTTTCTAAGACAAAAGCTTTACCGGCATTCTGCTTGAAAGATAGAAGCGTACTTTCCTAATGAGTTTGATTGCTCATGTTTTGGGCTGATATAAAAGACGCTCGATCCGGTCCCTTTATGTGCTTTGTTGACATCTGTATACCATTTCATTGTATCTCATGCTTTCCTAAATGTTTCTTCCCCTTTATGATGACGTTGATGATACTAGGAAGCGGGGTCTGTGCTCCCCAGGCACTGCAGTCTCTGGCTTATTGTACCTTCTTTTTTGTAGTCTGTTGAAACTTTGTAGCTTGTTGTAATGAGTGTATCCGAGATCGTGCCCCTATTTCTAATTGGTGTCTTATTTGTATTGATAATTGTAACGTATTCGAAGAGTTCCCAGTTTGATTGTTTTTGGAGCCTGAATGAACTTTTCCTAACTTCTCCTTGTATGAAAGCACATAGGGACAACAAACGAAAAAATCTTTATTGTTAATTTTAGCCACCATCTACTCAGGTTTTACTGTTTGAATATATTAAAAAATAAATATATCCCATTTTGAGTTCAGTCCTTCGGGCGACAATTATTTGAAAACCTTGGGGATTTGTTTCGTGCCTTTCGATTCGGTGTCGACGAAAAATCCAATTTGTAAGGAACAAATCGACACCTTCACTTTTCCTAACGAACTAATTAAAATTTGCGAGGCTATGCAATAAACATAATCCACGTTATTGGTCATCATTCTCATGTTTTTCTTATCTTTGCGTATAAAAAGCCACAACATGCGTGAAATCGCTTGCATTTTTCTTTGATACAGAATATACACGTTTATGTAAATAAATTACGAAAATATGTATTTTGTCATAATTTTTGTTTAAATTAGCTTTAGCCGTCTCCCGTTAGCTGAGCTCTCAATATGTTCTATGTTCAGTTTTATTCTTATAACGTCATAATATTGAAGTTATTTTTACATGTGTAAAATGAATAGAATTTTTTCAAAATCGACAACAAAGAAACAATTCCCTTAGATAATTTTTTAGGCTTACAATTTGATAAATTTACAAAAAATAAAAGCTGTTAAATGCAGAAACACAAAGAAGTTGGCATAAACTTTTACGGAAAAAATCCTTTATCAAAACAAATGTCTATATTCTGCGAGAATGCACGTGCACGTGATTGGGTTCCTTTTATTTAAAGCTTTATTATTGATAATATTGTTGAAAATCGTTGACTCAGTTCGATGAATTGAACTTTTAAAGAAATTTTTTATTTTAAAAGATTATTTTTATTTGCAACGTCAAACCATCGCATTCTGTCAATGAGGGTTATAAAAAGTGGAAAAACGTCTATTGTATATTTATGCATCTTTTGCACTGCGTATATATATAAAGTAGGACTGCTATGCCCTCCGCATAATTTTGTGTTATGCCTATACACCTACCTGCAGATTCTTTATTAGCTTCATTAATTGATAAAGCTTTTTTATACCCGACAGTACAACCCTTCTCTATTTTTATGACTTTCGCAATGAAATGTATACTGCGATATATACAACCTTGTCAGAATTCCCTCAATCTTATTATTCAAATATCGAGCCGGAAATATACCATTAACAGACCTCCAATAGTTCTACGTTTGTCCGGCTATTCTGCAGCAAGTCTGGTTGTGATCTTCTTGGCTGGTGTGTGAAATTTGACAGAAGGGTCAGAGTCCTGTTGGTGTTGTTGAGGAAGCCCCTGGTTAGTTTACGATTTGTTTACATACCTTCTTTATCCCATACCCTTACCTATAGATAGAAATTATGTATGATGGAGTGAGTGTGGAGTTCAATCCTTTTATAAAAAGATGGCTCCTACTCACATTAAATTTCATACTTCAGGCGTAGTTTGGCCATCGAAATAGAAGGACGTATTTTACCTTCCGTACCTAGTCCTTGAAAATCAAGCATTGACCGGCGATCGTAGCAAATGTATTCTACCCGAGGGACTATATGCCAATGGTTTTCAAAATGAATAAATAATGCACTTCCAGATAATATTCTAAATAACTCATTTTTCCATAAAATGCACTAGTTTTATGCCGCTTAATGTTTTTTGTTAATTTACCCAATTTGCGAGTGGTCCCATTATCCTCGTCGGACTCCACTACCGACTGGGTAAAATTAGTTAAATACTTAAAATTCACATACCCAAAAGACGTGCTTGTAATCCTCATACGACACATAAAAGAATTTAATTACATTTACGTTACAGACTATCTGTATTTCTTTATCTGTATTTCTATAGTCTGGGATGACCAAGCTTCTAAATTGATAGAGGGTATGGGCCTGCCTACTCGCATCACAAACTTTCGCAGATATTCAACTTTTTATGTGTGTTTTTTTTAACTATCTACGGTTTTCGTCAAAAATCTACTCGTAGCTCCTGAACTATTCATTTTTGGGGAAATCCAAAAAGCATTAAATTTCCTTTAAGGCATTTCAGGGCCTGGGATTTACAAACATGGTTTAAATTTAACAAACACATGTAGGATGTGGAAAAAGTGAATTTATTCAATGCAAAATATATTTTTTATATTTAATCAAAGTAGTTCAATCTATACCGACTTCCTTCTTCACCCCTTCAAATCCAACGGATATAAACATACAACAGTAATATCTCACTGGCACTCTCAACACGACACGCAAGAATGACACAATTACACAGAAAACAAACACTTTGAACCGTGAAGATGATCTCAATAAAGATCGAAACGTTGGCATGATAAAAGAAAATGTTTTTCTGAAACCTACATCACACCAGACCGCATCTCACGATTTCCGAATAACCATCGACTAACGGTCACTAATCACCATACACTAAACATATAAAAAAGAAAAAAGAAAACAATACACAAGTTTTAAAACCAAGCCCTAATGTAATAAAAAAAGCACAAATAAATCAACGTAAAAATCAAATGAAACACATAAAATAGAGACAATAGTCATAACGAACAACCAAAACAGAAAAAATTGGTAAACTATCTACACAAAACAAAGGGAAAAAAACAATACACAAGTAGTAAAACCCAGTCCTAATCTAATACAAAAACCACAAATAAATCAACGTAAAAATCAAATGAAACACATAAAATAGAAACAATAGTCATAACGAACAACCTAAACAGAAAAAAATTGGTAAAATATCTACACTAAACACAGGGGAAAAACAACAATACACAAGTTGTAAAACCCTGGCCTAATCTAATAAAAAAGGACAAATAAATCAACGGAAAAATCAAATGAAACACATAAAATAGAGACAATAGACATAACGAACAACCAAAACAGAAAAATTGGTAAGATATCTACACTAAACACAGAGGGGAAAATACAAAAGTTTACATTTGTAATACGAGACTAATGTCCTAGGAAGGATGCAATAGTCTGCTTTATTTCTAAAATAAGTTTTGTATCAGCAGTGTCGCCCATGGTGGACTTTCGGAGGAACAAGAAGAACGTCTGAAAAGACTGTTTTGTTGTTGTTCCCCGAATGTCTAGAGCCTCACACCTGTACCTATCTATGTATCTATCCTGGCTTTATCCCTACTTCCTAGGCTCCTTCCTTTACCAATCCGTCGACCTCACTTATTTTCCAGCCATCAGTTCAAATCTTCTTTCCATTCTCTTAACCTGACCTATAACTTCCTCGTCATAAAAACTCCACATTTTAGCGGTCCTTCCTAGTTCGAGTTACAAATCATCATTGTTTCTAAATCCCAAGCCCTGAAGATGATCTCAATAAAGATCGAAACGTTGACACGATAAAGAAAATGTTTTTCTAAAACCTACGTCACACCAGGCCGCATCTCACGAAATCCGAATAATAATATTCTTTTTTATTACTATTTTTCCCTAAATTATTATTGGTGCTATTATTTCTCTTGTTTATATTTTGTACTTTGTGTTTTATGTCAATTTATTTCACTATATGCTATCATCAAACCGTTAATTCATGAGGCAAGATGTGTAAAAATTTCTGAGAATCATCGTTCATCATTCAGTTACGGTTCTTAGGGGACCCTCGTCCCAAAATAATGTATTTTCTCTCACTTCTCTCAGATTCATCTTTATCTTGAACTCTGACCAGAAAACATTGACTTACTTTCGAAATTTCAAATTCAAGATTTCCCTTTGATATCTACTGAGTTAAGAATCTGTAGTTTGGCCGTTTCCGATTGTTTTGATCCGCCTATCCTCTCTGTTTTGATGAAGCCAATTTAAAATAGATCAATTTTTCATAATAAATACTATATGATATACTTATCATAAGAGAACTTTCAACATAGTTCACAATATTATTAGGTGCTTTTGCAACATTGGAAAACTTGTTACCTTCCTTTTCTCAACTTTTAAGTTTACAGTTTGTGATTATGTGAGTAAAAGACTGAATATTCTTTATTATTACTACTTTTACCTAAATTCTTATCGTTATGTTTTATATTATGTGATTTAGTTCAGCTTATTTTACTTGATGTTAACGTCAAACCTGTATTAGTTCGAGTGCCAGTTTTATAAAAAATGTTGTGCTCTTTCTATAATTATTAGGGGACGCTCGTCCCAGAATATTGTATTTTCTCTCACTTCTCTCAGATTCAACTTTAGTTAGAATTAGTTCATCTTATTTTACTTGATGTTAACGTAAGTCCTTTATTAATTCGAGTGACAGATTTGCAAAAATTTCTGAGGATCATCGTTCATCATTCGATGGGATCGGCAGGGGCCAAGGGAGATACATGCGAGATCGCATGTGGCGAATGTATTTTGTCCCAGGATAATGTATTTTATCTCACTTCTCACAGATTCAACTTTAGTCAGATTTAGTTCAGCTTATTTTACTTGTCAAACAATTAATTCGAGTGCCAGATTTGTAAAAAAATGTCTGCCCTTTTTATTATTCTTAGGGGACTCTAAGTCCCAGAATAAATTATCTTCTCTCTCTATCCATCAATTTTCTTTTTGATGTGAGAATCCAATAATCCAGTCGAATGACGTACTTGACGACGGATCCGCCCTCCCGGATCGGAAAAGTGTTTGGGGGTTGAACGGGACGGGTTTCCCTCGTCGGGGGTTGTCGAACGGCGAATGATCGGCAGGGGCCAAGGGTGAGATACATGCGAGAATACAGGGGGCGAATGTATTTTGTTACAGTGAGGCGGGAGTCGTGGCCGTCGCCGGAGTGGGGGAAGAAGGAAGGAAGGCTCCGGATCGGGGAAAGAGCCCAGTCCGAGCTGAACCGTCATGTACTGCGAACGACCGTGTAAGAACGAGTGAAAAAGCGCGTCAAACGTTGAGCGAAAGGACGATCGATGGAGGAAGGAAGGCCGGGGAAGTGTCGGCTCAACGAGGACCACTGCGTCTCTCTCAACGACATTCTCGTCTCCTTCAACGCCCCCATTTCGGAGGAACACTGCTGGGCCATTTGCTATCAGTGTGCCAAGTGCTTTAGGAACACCCTTACAAGTGACAGGGCCAAGTGTCGTGTTGTTTCCGAACTGGACCAAGTCCTCATCCACAGAGATGGACACGTTCATGCAAACACCATATTCGCCGGAGGAGGAGGTGAGTTGTTTATAATTGACACCTTAATAAATAATTATGGAAAACCGGCCGCCCGGCTCGACTATCACGTGTTTTAGAAAATAATGATCCCTATCGATCCACTTTTATTTTCACCCCGATACTCGTCAAATCCGTAGAAATAATTTGAGATAGGGTGAGTCAATTTCAAAAAATCTTCTATAATATTCTCCCCCCTTAGAAAAATAGATTTTTATCTACTGTCTGCTGTTTTTCTTAACTTAAGCAATAAAAATAATATCCCCAAGTAATTACGGTGGTTCTTCAAGCTTAGGTGCGTGCCACCATAATTTCTCCCAATCGAGAGATGATCCTGTTGATCGTTCTTCACTGTGCAAGTCCTCTTTAAGGGAAGATCTTTTTCGTTTTTCTGACTGAGTTCCATCCTTGCTGAGTTCTTTCTCTTTTTGTGTACTAACAAAGTTTCGAGAAGCGTTTTCATCGCTAAGCACAAATCTCCAAACCGAGTACCGCAGAGAGATTGTGGGACAATTAAATTATTATTTTATTTTAATTTTAGATTTTAGTTTTATATTGAAGAGCCCTGTCAGTGTTTATTTTTGTTCTGTGTATGGCAATCACCAAGATTTCATTTTCTCTTAATTTTTTTTTTCTTTTAAACCTTAGTTTCATCCCCGGCCAGCACTGCCGGCAGACGGTTTTTACAATCAATGCTGTATTAAGAATTTTTTATTTATTATGTTGTATTTTGTTTTTGTAATTACAATTCTTTCTTCATTCATTCATTGCCTGTTATATCGGTGCACACAAATGAAATGCGTTCCTAATAAAATTAAAAAAATCTTTATTATCTCTGAATCCTTCAAGAAGTTTATATCCGGTTCTATTATTTTGCTCTAGGTTTTATACCACCAAGTTATAGCAACAAAGTACATTTTCTTTTTGTATATTTACATTCATGTAAATCCGATAAAGTAAACAAACAAACCTTAGTTTACAATAAATTAATAAATAAAATTATTATTTCTACAATGTCATATTTGTCGTAAGTCCATTTATTTAATGCATTAATTTTTATTATGGTCAATTTTTATTTTACATTCGTTGTATATCTGTCTATATATTAATGCCAATTCGAGCTTAATTAGGATTTGATTTGATAAAATTATCCCTAAAACGAAAAATATACAAACTAACTGGGATTTTTTCTCTTTCCTCTTGGATCACACGGCAAAAGAGTCCTAATTAAATTTATCTTTAATTCTTTTTGGGATTAACTTTGTTTAACTTTTTAACTGATCTTCGTTGAAAAGACGATGCCGATCCGTTTCGTAACTTGATGTGTCAACTCCAAGAAACAAACGTCGAGATAACGGGCTATTTCACATCTGCCAACAATACCCGAATAAAAGGCTTTGCTCCGGTTTTTAACAAGTAGTTTTCGGTTTTAACCACGCTTAAAAACAAAATAAATTACAAGAGTCTCGTTGATTCCGCCATCATCGGAAAATAACATAAAAAAGGGGGGGCCCACAAATTTCTGGATTTCGCCCTTTGCCGTGGAAACGAAAAGGGGACATAAAATCGGTCGGATTTCAGTTTGCCGATCGACCTTGTTTGTACGGGTCGGAATGTGGATTGATTAAAGCACAATAAAACCGGGGTTTTAACCTTTCGATTTAATCAGCCTGAACACCAAGTTTAAAAACAATATGAAAGCGAAAACCAAATTTTGCCGACCTCAGATTTCAAAACTAACGTTAACCCTTTTTTTCGGCGAATTAACCAAATGTCACTCGATGTGCGAAAAAGTTTAATGTGTATGTATACATCTGTTGTATGTAGGAAAGTATCTGAAAGATGGTTGGAACTTATTTTTAATGGAATGAATGAGTATCATTTTGTTTAAAAATTAACGAGAGAGAGAGAGAGAGAGAGAGAGAGAGAGAGAGAGAGAGAGAGAGAGAGAGAGATATGATGAAGATGATGATGATGACGAAGATGAACGTTTTATTTATCAATCACACAAGATTTGGTCTCAAGGACCATTCTTACATATAACGTGAAATATTTAAAACCTACATATAAATATGTACAATGGTTACTAAGTTTACTTCTAATTTATTAAACATTAATTACTTCGAATAACTTGATTTTTGTGGTCAATGTGCTTACATCTAATCATTTTACATTGAACTACATATGTATTTACTTCAAACACATTTACTTGCCTATTGAAATAACTATTCTAATTTTCAGAATAATTGAGCAATTAAAAAGTAAATTACTAATGTAATAAGTGAGCAAAAATACTTTTTCAATACAATTCAGTACAAATCATGAATTATAAATTGTCGATATAAATCTAGAAATAAAATTTCGAGAGAGAGAGAGAGAGAGAGAGAGAGAGAGAGAGAGAGAGTGAGTGAGCGCAAGAGTGAATTTTTAATCATGCATCTCATCTTGATTAAATCTGATCATGATGATCTTCGACCATCTTTCAACCAATTACACTTTCATGTGATATGAGTATTTAAACTTGAATTTGAGACAATCTAGATTAATATTGTTTAAAATAATACTTTTTAGAATAGAATCTTGTATAAGTCCGACCTTTTTTATTTTGGTTGTAGTTAATAAACTAACCAACCTCTTACTTTTTATTGCCATTACGGCGATCACTGCCGGTACTCCTTGTGTACATCCACGGCAATAGTTCTGAAATCTAGATAATAAAAAGTAAAACAGGTTGTGAAGTTCAATAAATCATCACACAAATAAAATAATTTAATATTAAAATCGCGATAACGGTAATTGTGATGTTGATTTTTTGAGCGAACAAGATTTTATTTGGTGTAAATAAACGAACGACTTTTCGCTGGTTATCAGTTATTTAAACGGTCATTTGATCAGTTGTTAATACCAATATTTTTTAGTGTATCTGGTTTATTTTTAAACGTTCGTCTGTGTTCGGGACCGAATGGGTTTTCTGGGTCGGTCAATACGAGTGCGATGTATGGGGGGATCGATGCCGTTTGGCCTTTGCCCTTTGCAGATCTCATTACTTAGAAAGTCTTGATTATTTTTTAGTGGTGTGTTAGTAGTGCCGAACCGGGGCTCTGTACCGTGTTTACTCCGGATGCACGTGCGGACGCAAGTGGTCCCGAACTCTTTCGAACCCCTTTTAGGATGTGGCGATAAACCGTCTCTGATCTATCCGGTTCTCCTTATGGGAAAACAATGCCGACGATTAAAAACATTTCCATCCGATTCGACTGTGCGACAGAAGGATATCGAGACAAAAAGACGATCGGCTTCCGCGAATGTGCGGAAAGAAATCTCTCCATTGAACCAACAGACAAGTATGACAACCTCCCGACCAAGAGGTGGGCAGTGTTAGAGCAACTTTAATTTTTATTTTAAAAGTTTTTGTAAATTATATTTGTTAATAACATAATTCACCGGGAAACTTATTAGACGAAGTTAGATGAATTACGGTTAGATTAATTAGATTAATCACGGTTATGGAAGATGTCGGACCTTAGACCGTAACTATGAACCAACGTATTTGCTGTTTGGGTATTAAATTATTTTCGATAAGAGAAAAGATAATCGTTACTAGAAGCAAGCAGACAGTGGAATCTGTATTCTTTTTCTGTTTTCAGTCGTTATCTTCTCTATCAAATATTCACAGTCGATAATAGCTAATATTAGTCGTTTGAGATTATTCCTGGAGAAAGCGCAGTGTCCTTGGGTCCAGAAATCAATAGAAGTCAGCTGTTGAGTGTTCAGTAACCTCTTTCCTTATAAGGGACGCTTAGGCTTTCAAAAGCGGTTGATACCGCTCTAGACCTTTTAAAGAAAAGAAAAACAATCCGTTGTTGTTAATGCGAATGAGAATTATACTAATTATTCAACTAAGGTTGATTAATTATAATGACGGTTGGATCGCTTAAAAGTTTAAATAAGGTATAGCACCATTTCAAATATGTGTAATAAAAAGTCGATTCTCTTATTATAACTGAAATAACTTTTAATTTCAACGATATTTGTGAAAAGTGAAATATTGTACGAATTGACAAAAGGGAATCTATTTGGTTCGATAGTTAAAAGCGATGGTTCTATTTGGTTTTGGATTTATGAAAATTCAATACCGTACGTGTAATACACACATGTACAGAGTTGAGCCCATCACATCTCGCAGTCCACCGGCATTTCCAGATTTTGCTATTTATAGTAAATTGCCGACAGGACTCGAGAATCACCCACCCTGGGTGTTGGCAGTCTAGGGCCAGACCTCGGCCTTATCCGTCCAACCACCGGGGGTTGGGCTCCGGATGCTGTAAACAACTAGGCCGATTCAACACCCACTGCATGTATCCAAACCCATTCACATACTTAAATACCATTCATTCAATTAGGTGGTGGAGTACTCGATATTCATCCATCACCTTATATACACTAACTTAATGGACGGTCGTTGGCGGAATATTGAGTACCCCCTCACTCCACACATTCACGGTAATAAATACTTTCACCCTCAACACATCCTAGTGACACAAAACAATATTTATACAATGAAACAACCCTGTGGGGACCTACATACTCGCTGCCGACAAATCGGGTCGCATTGCTACGCGCTCTCTACCTTTCTCTACAAGCCAGACACGGGGCTTCGTCCCAAAAGTAAGTGCTCGTGCTTCACCCTGTCGTTGTAAAAATCCTCTTTGGTTATATACCTGACCTTGCCGAATTTACACTTTATGAAGGAAATTGTAGATTTCGGATCTGATCCACCAAAAATGACCTAACGCGACTATTATTTTCACAGACAGTTCTAAGACGGTTGTAAGTCGGGGTTCATACTTATGACTTCTTCAACAATAAATATGTTTCATACCGTTTCCTTGGCGTGTTTTCTCTTTACGCAATCCTTTTGGCTTTTGAATACGTAGAACCTACCGATGATAATCAGGTGTTGATTTGTTCTGACCATAGGAGTACCTACGTCTCAACTCCAA